GAAGTTGTGACATGTTCACCTAAAAATACCAGCTCAAACTTAGATGTAATATTTTCATCAACCAGAAATATTTTTTATCGTCAATTTCAGGTTTTCACATATCATAGACAAGTTGCACAAGCCAACCTCTCATTTTTATCAGATACATTTATTGCTGTCAACAAAAAAGGTTTGCACTTCCCTCTTTGCCAGAGGATATTACACACAAAAATGGTATTATAAATATTACCAAAAAACTAAAAACACTGTTTTTGAAAGACCAAAATGCACTTGGTGCATTAAAAATTCCAAGTTTATGATATAAATATTCTAATTTTACAAAAAAATATCTCTTATATTCATGCCTCAGAAACAAAAGTCATAAAACTCTTTAAAGGTCAAATATGCACCAGGTGCATTTTGGTCTTTCAAAAACAATGTTTTCAGTTTCTTCGTAATATTTGTAATACCATTTTTGTGCGAAATATCCTCCGATATTAAATCTCTAACACAAGCTGTAGAATGAGTGGCCATTGTTAAATGTAAATAAATGACAGAACTTCCCAACAAACAGAACTGACAAAGTTTACAATAAACATTAACAAGGAAAAGAAAAGAACAGAGAAAAAATAATATAAGGTAAACAAACAATATATGCAATGCAAATTAACAGTAATAAGGTAAAACAACAATAATATGGCAAAATTTCACAAACTAAGAATTGGGTTTGACACACAAAAGAGCAAATTCGGATAAACGAATGTAGCGTTCTGACTTCAAGACAACACAGATCGAGACTGAGTCAGACGAAACCGAGAGCTGGGTTGGAAAATATCCCAGCATGCATTTATGTGCTTCTGTCTATAAATTAGGGAGGGGATAGTGTTTTGCAGTCATTCCCACCAGGATTGAAAACCAACACTATCTCTAGCATGTCCAATCATGTTAAGACATTCCTGTCAAGTCATGAAATGAAGGTCATCCTAAACTGGTTCTCCTCCAGTTCCTTTCATACAAATCCTGGGTCCTACACTGTTTCTGATCTTCATCAACAATCTTCCTGATGTAAACAGTTTTCAAGTAGGCATCTACACAGACAACACCACCAGTTACTCCTGTCTCAATAGTAAATCTGGCTTTGCTGACAAAGTTAACCTGGCCATTGGTCTTAAAAATGACCTCCAATCTGTGGTTGACTGGGGCAGGAAATAGCTTATAAACTTTAATGCCTCCAAAATGAAACTGCTCTCATCTATCCACCATAGAGAAACTTCCCTGCCTCCTATCAGCATGGCTGATGCTTAACTTCACGAGAGAGTTTCTCTGCGTCTTCTTGGTCTCGCATTTTGCACTGACTTGAGGTGGAACAACTACATTGAATCAATAGTTACATCTACCGCAAGGAAAGTTTGTTCTCTGTGTCATGCCAAAAGGTTTTTCTTGTCCGAGTCCATCCTTCGAATCTACAAATCTACCATTGTCCTTGCATTGAATACTGTTGCCATATATTGTCTGGTGCCCCCGCTGATCATCTCGAGGTCCTCGACAAAATCCAAAGACAGATATGCAATGTCATAGGTCCTGATCTGGCATCTCAACTCCAGTCACTTTCTCACAGATGTGATGTGGCTTCCCTCTGTCTTTTCTACAAATATTTTCATGGCAACGACACTGACAAGCTATTTTAACTGGTGCCCCAACTGCATAAATTTAAGCATGCTACTAGGTTGGTATCTCAGTCCCATCCTTTTACTGTCAAAACAGTTAAATGTAACCAACTCTTCTACTCCAACAGGTTCTTCTCTCTTCCTCTTACTTGCTTCCCTGATAACTATAATCTTCAAAAATTTAAATGTAATGTCAATCGACATCTTCTGATGCCTTGATCTTGATCCCCCGTCCAAACACCCCTCTTTACTCTTACTTTCACTCTCTGTAACTCCCTGCATGCTAGTGGCTCTCCTGCCTTGCTTGGGGTGAAATGCTTAAAAAAAAAAATAAATAAATAAATAAACTGAAGGACCTTGTTTCATTATTTCTAGATCCAAAAACAATTGCCATATCTTTAAATATTTTTTCCATTTAACATATTATTCTTTGTTCTCTAAAATGAGAGGTTTTTAAAGTTGAAGTCTTTTTTTTTTTTTTTCATGGGGATGCAACAACAAAAAAGTGTCAGTATATCATCATCATCATCAGTCCCTCAACTGCTTAGTAGACATATCAGGTGTCAAAGTTCAAATAACCAAAAGTCATTTACTAGTTTAAAAGATTGCAATTTTTGTTTTTAAAATGGCAACTACAAGATGACTATGAAACAGCAACTGCAAATCGTACATTTCTCCCCACCCTTACGCTTACTAAACTATGCCTATAATGATATATTCATAATTTGTAATAACTTCAGTGAATATACACAAGTGTTTCCTGTTTATTATTTTGATTTTATAGAATATGACTTGAATTATAGAACACTTTTTGAAGATTAATTCTCTAAGAATAAGTTTGATTCAATCAATAACATCAGATTGGCAGCTGATTTCAAAAGTGACCTGTTAACTGGGGCAACAAATAACTTGTTAATTTTAATGCCTCCAAAACAAAATTGCTTTCTATTAATCATCTAAGAGACCTCTTTCTGTCTTCTATCAGTATGGCTGATGCTAACCTCCAGGAGAGCAACTCAGACTAATGTTTTCTGCTGATATGAAGTGGAAAGATTTTATTAAATCAATTGCTATGTCTGCTGCTATAAAATTTGGTTCACTGTGTCATGCTAGACAATTCATCTCTCCGGAAACTATCTTACATATTTATCATTCATCCATGCTTTGAATATTGATTTCACATATAGTCTGGTGATATATATTTAGATATTCTTGATAAAATCCAAAGAATCTGCAATGTTATCAGTCCTAACCTGGTATCTCAGCTTCAGTCACTTTCCAACCACCATAATGTAGCTTCTATGTGCCTTTTTTATAAATAGTTCATGGTAATTGTTCTGATAAGCTTTCCTCTATGGTGCCTAGTCTTTATTATTTTAATCACAGAACAAGATTGGTGGCAAGGTCTCATCAGTTTACAGTTAAATTGGCTAGATGTAACCGCAAGTTCTATGTTAACAGTTTCTTCTCTTGCACTTCACACCTGTGGAACTCTTTTCTGGTTATTTGCTTTCCAGCCAACTTAGATCTTCAAAAATTTAAATGTCAACTGTTATCTACTTTCTTCTTGATACCTCTTCTTTTATTGTTTCCAGTCTTTAATAATTTCATTCTTTTTCTTATTCTTTCATACTCAGTAACTCCTTGTTTCATAGTGGCTTTATTGCCTTGCTTGCTCAGGAAAATCTTTTTTCTCAAATATACAGGTGTGGTGAAAGAAGTTATTGTTATTTTCAATAAATGGTCCAAAAATAACGCATAGTAGGTCTACAACTATGTCTGTTAAGTATTTTAGTGGTATTTGCCCTAGTAATGATTGTTTATCCAACAAAACTTCTGATGGGATTTTATTGGTTGAAAAATATATATAGGATTTAATTCCTATACTGTTCTTTTTATGATTCTGTAGCACTAATCCACAAGGGTCGAAGTGTGGTTTTCACCAAAACCCAGAAGTTTCACTCACCTCTTTTAACCATTGATCTTAGAAAGTGGTTGTATTACAGCTGACAGTTTAAATATTTCTGAACAAGTTTGACACCATGCATGACATTTGTATGAAAGTCTCAATTTGATGAAGCTATTTAAGAACATGAATTTTCAGATTAATGTTTTGTAGCAATTTGTGGTGTTAGGCAAAACTACCACTAGCGCAGCCTACTCTTTATTCAATTACCTTTTAATCCCTTATGCCAAATCTGTTATAATTGATCCATACACCAAGGTATTTGAAATGTTTAATATTTACTAAATCCACATCCTGAATTTTTATAATATATTCAGGGCAGATGCCATCACTGCTTTCATTCAAATTCCAGATCATTGTTTCTCTTTTGGAAAGGTTTATTTTGAGTCTTATTTATTGGAATACTTGGTAGGGGATGTTGATTTTCTGTTCAAGATCATACTTCTCCCAAATATGAACACCTATGTCATCAGCATAGCTCTCATCATCATCATTACATTAGTCTCAGAAGGGAAAGCAGGATTGTTGTCTGCTATTAGTAGATTTAGTTAGGATATGGTATAGAATGTTTAAATGATTAGTGCCCATCTTTTCACATTTGTGTTTGTAAATGCACAAAAAAGGACATAATATTGCCTGAAAGAACTTGAGACCCTACATATTAAATGTAAGCAACATTTCTTCTGTAAACAGAAGAAATGGCTGCTGAGCCTAAATGTAGTCTGTCTGTGATTTATATTGCTGATTCTTTGTTAGTATTTTTCCTCCTTCCCCCACCTTTTTTAGCCACTGTATACATATTTATATTTTGTCCTCAGTTAAGCTCTGAAGAATGATGAGTGATAATCAGTTGGCCTTTTTTTGTTATATTTTTGATTCACCAACTTGCTTTTCCTCCCACTTTGTTTTAATATATTTTTATATATTAATATATAGTTTTAAAATGTCCATTTTTAAAGCTATAAAAAGAAAACTGTATACATTTTATTTAGTTTTTGCATAATTAGTCCCTATTAAACGTCTATGTCTTGGTGTTCTAGTTAACTTGAATTCATAGCTATATATTAATAATAGAATCATTGTATAACATAGCTTTGATGTTTTAAAAACCTATTGTCTTCTCACCTAAGCATTTTGCTTACCAAAATAATCTGTATTTGAAAAACTTTGAATAATGATAGGATCATTTAAAAAAGCAGTTTGATTGAAATAAATCCAAGCATCTAAAATAAAAAAAAAATGAAGATATAAACACATAAAGCAAGACAGAAAAAAATGCATTTCTTAATTTTATCTTGTTTTAGATTTTAAATATTAAAAAACAAAATCAAATCTGAAAGAATTAAAACAAAATCCTGAAATTTTATACAAGATGGAATCTGACTCACCCGGAGGAGCTGCCATCCTATATCAATATAACGATTTTCAACCCCGTATCGTCTTTTTGCATAGCCAGAGATCCTGTTAAAAAATGAAAATAATAATTATACAGTATTATATTACAATAATTCTTTTATGTACCATGGATTTTGTGGGTGATCATGGCTCATCATAACTTCCTGTGTTTTGTTGCACCAAGTAATTTTTGACTCTTTACTATGACTTTTTATTTTGTTCTGTTGTCCATTCACTTCATCCTCTATGTGCCAAGTCACTTCAGGATGTAGATGGTCATGGCTCTCCACAATTTCCTGTCTTCTGTTGTTCTAAGTAATTTTTGACTCTTTATCATCACTCTTGTTGTTCCGTAGCCCATTCACTCAAACTTCATAAGTAGGTTACTTGCTGTTTCCCCTGCTAGTTGCCGGTCCTGTGAGTTTTACATTCTCTGAGCCCTCTTTCCTCATTATGTTTCCAAAAAACTTCAGCTGTCTCTTTCTGATTGTAAGTATCAGGTTTTCTATTTTCCTTTAAAAATATTCTTTATATGTTGTGTTCATGGTATTCTTAGCATTTGTCAGTAGTATCATATCTGATATTTCAAGTCTCTTCTTCAACTATGAGGAAATTGTCCAACATTTACTGCTATATAAGAGATTAGATATTACATACCTGTTCTTTATTTAATTCTTTTCAGTGAATGTGGATGCACTGTGGTTAACAAAGGATATGAATTAAAAAAAATATTGGTCTCTCTAGAATAATAGAATGTGAGCAAGATAGATGTCTGATGTCCATCAATACAAACTAATATCCACATCTTTGTTGTTATTATCACCTAATCACCTTCTGTCTGAATTTCTGGGATGAGGAGTTATCATTATTTACATTCAGACTAATATCCTCATCTTTGTTGTTATTATCACCTGATTGCCTTCTGTCTGAATTTCTGGAATGAGGAATTATCATTATTTACATTCAGATTAATGTCCTCATCTTTGTTGTTATTATCACATGATCGCCTTCTGCCTGAATTTCTGGGATGAGGATTTATCATTATTTACATTCAGATTAATATCCTCATCTTTGTTGTTATTATCACCTGATCGCCTTCTGCTTGAATTTCTGGGATGAGGATTTATCATTATTTACATTCAGACTAATATCCTCATCTTTGTTGTTTTTATTACCTGATCGCCTTTTGTCTGAATTTCTGGGATGAGGAGTTATCATTATTTACATTCAGACTAATGTCCTTATCTTTGTTGTTTTTATCACCTGATCGCCTTTTGTCTGAATTTCTGGGATGAGGAGTTATCATTATTTACATTCAGATTAATGTCCTCATTTTTGTTGTTATTATCACCTGATTGCCTTCTGTCTGAATTTCTGGGATGAGGAGTTATCATTATTTACATTCAGAGTAATGTCCTCATCTTTGTTGTTATTATCACATGATCGCCTTCTGCCTGAATTTCTGGGATGAGGATTTATCATTATTTACATTCAGATTAATATCCTCATCTTTGTTGTTATTATCACCTGATCGCCTTCTGCATGAATTTCTGGGATGAGGATTTATCATTATTTACATTCAGACTAATATCCTCATCTTTGTTGTTTTTATTACCTGATCGCCTTTTGTCTGAATTTTGGTTATCATTATTTACATTTAATGTCCTTATCTTTGTTGTTTTTATCACCTGATCGCCTTTTGTCTGAATTTCTGGGATGAGGAGTTATCATTATTTACATTCAGATTAATGTCCTCATTTTTGTTGTTATTATCACCTGATCTTCTGTCTGAATTTTGGGATGAGGAGTTATCATTATTTACATTCAGAGTAATGTCCTCATCTTTTTGTTATTATCACCTGATCGCCTTCTGCCTGAATTTCTGGGATGAGGATTTATCATTATTTACATTCAGATTAATATCCTCATCTTTGTTGTTATTATCACCTGATCGCCTTCTGCTTGAATTTCTGGGATGAGGATTTATCATTATTTACATTCAGACTAATATCCTCATCTTTGTTGTTTTTATTACCTGATCGATTTTTTGTCTGAATTTCTGGGATGAGGAGTTATCATTATTTACATTCAGACTAATGTCCTTATCTTTGTTGTTTTTATCACCTGATCGCCTTTTGTCTGAATTTCTGGGATGAGGAGTTATCATTATTTACATTCAGATTAATGTCCTCATTTTTTGTTGTTATTATCACCTGATTGCCTTCTGTCTGAATTTCTGGGATGAGGAGTTATCATTATTTACATTCAGAGTAATGTCCTCATCTTTGTTGTTATTATCACCTGATCACCTTCTGCCTGAATTTCTAAAATGAGGAGTTATTGTTACTTACATTCAGACAAAAAGGGATCAGATGATAATAATAACAATAAATCTTCTTATAAATAAAGAGTAAAGTAAAAAATTAAAAAACTTACCACTCTGCGATATTTTTGGGTCCAGGCCCTATGCCCTGATCCAACATAAATTCATACATGACATAATTTTGGTTAATTCCCTCTGGACTTATACCAATACCAATCATTGAACTGTTTGGATATGAACGCGCTGTACTTGGTCCCTAAAAGCACACACAAAAAATAGGTAAACCTGTTGTGAATATATATATATACATTACTGAAATAATGATAATGGTGAAATTAGCCGTTTCCATAGAGAATACATTCAACATTTATTGACCAAACAGATAGTGTTGCTTTTGGTTGGAATTTATGAAAGTTTTCCAAGAAAATAGGTTTCTGAAATTCATTAACTCTTATAAGTCTTTCTAGTATTGCTGAGAGTTTCCTTCCTAACCTATTGTTTATGATAGTGTGGAAAAATCAACATATTTTTATAAATTTGTACATGTAAAATTATTCTTATAAATAAACTATCAAATAAAACATTATTTAATTCTTTTGTTGTCAATTCTCAAGAAAAATAAAAATGCATCAATCCAATTTCACATTTAAAATATTTAAAAAAAAATCAAAATTGATGATGGAATATACAGTAATAGCAATTTTTAGAAAGAAAAAATCCTTTTGACATGTCATTTTTTGTGTATACTACTACTACTACTACTACACAGGTAAGCGAAAATCCTTAATTTTTATCAATGACCTTCCTGACAACATCAGTTCCCAACTTGATATCTATGCTGATGACAAAACCATTTACTCTCGTCTTGATACTAAGTCTGATCAATTTGATATGGTCAAATTGGCAGCTGATCTAAAAAATGAACTAGTCTATTGTTAACAGGAGCAAGAAATGGCTTGCTAATTTTAACACCTCCAAAATGAAACCTCTCTCTATTAATCACCTGAAAGACCCCTTCTTGCCTCCCATGGCTGATGCTAACCGCTAGGAGAGTGACCTGTGGCACCTTCTTAGGGTAACATTCCCAGTTGATATGAAGTGGAAATATACTGAATCCAGGCCTGCTGCTAAAAAATTTGGTTGACTGTGCCATGCTAGACATTTTTTTTCCTCCAGAATCTATCTTACATATTTATAAGACTACTATCCATCCTTGGTTTGAATATTGCTGCCAGATATGGTCTGATGCTTTTGTTGTATATTTAGAGATTCTTGATGAAATCCAAAGAAGTATCTGCAATATTATTGGTCCTGACCTGGTATCTTGCTTTCAGTCACTTTCCCATCACCATAATGTAGCTTTCCTGTGCTTTTCCTACAAATTCTTTTATGGTAATTGTTCATATGAACTCATCATTATGGTACCTAAACTTTATGAATTTAAGTGCAGCACTAGATTGGGGGGCATGGTGGAATAATGGGAAAGGCATGGTGGAGTAATGGATAGCGGTTTGAAATGAGGAATCAGAGAGCCGAGTTTGAATTCCAGTCAAGTCCATTACATTCACTTATGTGCTAATACCCTTGGGAAAGGTATAAATCCTCTTCTCTCCCCAGCTATGGGTAAATAGCAGGACAGACCAGGTTCTATAGCCTTGGATGGCAGCTGGTCTACCACAGAAAGAAATGGCAACCTACTGTGGGAAAAAATCTGCCTCGTCAGCCATGTATCAAAAGATACATGATCACCTACACATGTATTATGCAAGGCACACAATTGCTAAATTGGTAGTGTAGTATTAAAAAGTAATTAAGATCTTTCTTCCACCCTTGTTGAGAATGGAACAGTCGACTGTAGATATAAGCAGTTGATTTTTTTCCACATGTATTGATAAAGTGGAATAAAGCTTATTGTTAAGTTTATTTGGGCTTTCTGTTTTCCCTACAGGTGGCAAGGTCTCACAAATTAACAGTTGAATTGGCCAGATACAACCATAAATTCTATGCTGTTTCTTTTCTCACACTTCTTGTTTGTGGAACTCTCTGCTGGGTCCATTCTTTCCAGCCAACTTTGATCTTCAAAAATTTAAATACAATGTCAATTGTTATCTGTCTTCTTGATTACTCTTCTATTGTTCTCACTCCTTCATGTTTCTCCTTTTTTTAATCCTCCTCACTCAGTAATCCCTTGTTTTACTGCCTTATATGGAGTGATTTTTTTTATAGCAAGTCAATAAAGCCACTAAGACACAAGGGGTTACTGGGTGTGGAAGAATTAGAAAACAGAAACATTACAAAGGAGTAGGAACAATAAAAGAGTAATCAGGAAAACAGTAGTTAATGACCGACATCTCAAATGATTAATAGAGAGCAGTTTTATTTTGGGGGCATTGAAATTAACAAACCATTAGGGATTAGTAAAAGGGATATGGTATTTAAAAATAACTTTTATCACCTCACAAAAAGAACAGTTTTCTTCCTTACCACATTAACACTTTCTATATCTCCATAAAGGTCCATAGTGCCACCATAGTTGTGTAACATACACCAGACAAATGGCTGACCAAAGAAGGAATCATATTTCTGCCATAAAGGCCTTATTTCAGCAAATAAATCCAAAACAATCATTCTTCCCTGAAAAATAAAATATAAAACAATCATTCTTCCCTGAAAAATAAAATATAACTAAAAATATTTTTTTTTAAAAAAAGTTAGGGTGAATAGAGTTACTCCCCTTGACATGAAGATGAGAAAAAATGTTGGAGTCAGAAACATGGATGAAAAGCAGATGTTACAGAATTAATTAACAAAATATCTTTTTCTCTTTTTAAATTTCACGATTTCATTTAAAAAAAAAAAAAAAAAATAGTATATTTGTACTGAAGCAATCAAGACAGGCATCCCCTAGGAGTTCACTTCTCAGTCCAACCCTCTTCCTATTTAAATAATCTGCCTAAGAATATATTCTGATCATTTGTGAATATCTAGGCTGATGATACAATGGTATATGGGTGCACTTCCAAAATCCAACAGGACCAGAGCTTAGTCAGTGATCTCTCCTATGATCGAGCTCTAACAGCTCAGTGGAGAGGAAACCTGACTTGCTGGTCACATTCAATGCCTCAAAAACTAAACTAGTGTCATTCCACCATCATCAAACAAAGAGCTTTCACCAATTGCCATGAGTGAATGTTTCTTTGAGACTTAAATTCAACACAGACAGTAAGTGGAATTCATACATGATTCATAGCTAAAGAGTCTGGAAAAATGGTTGGTTCCATGTACTGCTTCAGCAAGTACCTGACTCCTCGTGCTATCCTCTACTTTTACAAGAGCCAGATCAGACCGAAAAATGAAACACTGCTGCCAATATGTGGGCAGCTGCCCAGTTTTCACTTTCAACTCTCAAAAGAGTTCAAAAGCATCTCCACATTTTTGTGGATGACAAATTATTTTCTACTCTACAAACCCTTTCATATAGACCAAATCTTGCAAGTTTCTTACTGCCCTGTCGCTATTTCCATGGAAAATGTTCAAACGAACTACACTAATTATTTTCACCAGTCCTAACCTTCATGAGTAAGGCACGTCATGCCACACACATTGTATCAAACCACCGTCATTCTCTTTGTATTCCTTTGGTGAAATGTAAGTTACACTGGAGCAGCTTCTTCATATGAACCACTGCCTTACAGAACCAACTCTGATCACTTCAATCCTAACCTGTTCAAGTCCAGGGTTAAAAGTTATCTTCTAAACATATCTAAATAAGCTGCACCTCTTACTCTGTAACCCTCTACCTCAAGTGGCCCTCATGCCTTGTACAAGGTGAATATTATTGTAAACAAAATAAGTCTATCAAGACTGACACTGGAGAAATCAACAATTCTGATGCTATTTAAGTAGTAACAGAAGAGCTAAGAACCCAAATACACAGTCTTTCTTTGTCAATGAAAATAATATGAACAGAATAACTGGTAACAAACAGAAAGCAAAAATTTATATTTTACGCAATATTTTCTAATACAATTCTCAAATTGTTCTTTATATTTTATATAAATAAATAAAGATTGTCTTTTGAAAAAATAAAAAAATAAAGCCAAGCAGGATATTTCCGAAGATAAACATTTTTAAGACAAGCAGTCTTTGTAATTAAAGTGCCCAATATCAATTGATTTTATTTACTACTATATTTTATTCGACTCACCTATCATATTCAACATATGAGGGTCAAGCAGCTCAGTTCCAAGGAATCAACAGTCAGACACCAGCACATATGATTTGATTATAGTGGTGAAGGCTTTGTGCAGAACCATCCACGCTTTTTGAGGGTCTGAATACAGAGACCTGGTGCACTACGTGCCACAAGGTACCCAAACGACCCTCTGCAGGTTTTTGAATTCAGAATTGTCCTTCTCCTAGACCAGTTGCCTTCCAAGGCTATAGAATCCAGTCTGTCCTGCTATTTACCCATAGCTGGAGGGAGAAGAAGAGGATTCATACCTTTCCCAAGGGTATTGGACTGGAATTCAAACTTGGCTCTCCAATTCCTCGATCCAAGCTGTTATCCATTACTCCACTGTGCCTCCACCAACTTCATATATATATATATATATATATATATATATATATATATATATATATATATATGGTGTATTTGGGAAGCAATTACTCTTTTATACAAGTTTCATTAAAAATGACTGACAAAGTACTGTAGTTAAGTTTTTTGTTTATATTTTTATTATTATCTTCTTTTGTGGAGATAAATTATATAGAAATTGTCCAAATATTTTGTATGTCTGACCACTTTCAGCTATACTTTTGTCCATTATCAAGGATGATTTTTTTTTTACTTTTAACTGAATGTGTGGATTGTTTTATGTATGTATCTAGAGGAATGTTTTATTTTCCACACATGGGCAACATATTGTGGCCAAATTCATAGTTGATATTATTTAGTGATGGTTTTTTCTTTTTTATTAATAATGCTTCCATTATTTTTAAGTTAAAGCAAAAGAAATATTATTAAGATGAGAATTTATCAGGATTTTACTGACCATTGGAACTGAAGTGAGAAGGGCTTTGGCTTGAGGAAGTTTCCAAAATGAAGAATCTTGAAAAAGCCAACCTTGCATCACCCTAAAAGAAAATAAAACAAAATTATAAATAAAAAAGAAAAGATTTGAAAAGCAAGAACAGAAACAAAAGTTTATTACAATTTTTGTGGCCAAGCTTCTATATATATATATATATATATATATATATATATATATATATATATATATATATATATATATATATATATATATATATATATATATATATATATATATATATAGAAAGAAAGAGAAAAGAGATACTAACTATATATATATATATGTATATATATATATATAGCAATAGATTTCTTGCACATCCTTAGGAGATGAAGAGATATGATCTTTTTCCTTTGAAGTCAATTTCTCAGGAATCTTGTCTACAGCCCATCTTTGAATTGGCAAACATAAAATATTGTTAGGGTTTTTAGATAGCCGTAAAATTAAAGTTTTTTGAAAAACTGACCACCCTAAAGCTGACTGAGTGGTCCCGTTTTCTGGTTGGTGGACAGATAGGAGTGGTGGGTCTTTTCTATTTATTCATCCAACAGATTTTTATCACTTTAAACATTATTTTAGTGGGTACTCATATTTGAGTAGATACTTCATTTATTTATTAACAGTATATAAAGCTTCTTCATGGCTGAGTCAGTTAAGGCACATTGGATTTAACAACAGTTTCCCTCTGCTTAGAGGAATGCAGGTTCAAATCCTATTGAAGTGTGCATATTTTTCTTTAATAAGATTTTTTTCAAATATATATATATATATATATATATATATATATATATATATATATCTATATTATTTATATATATATATATATATATATATATATATATCTATATATATATATATATATATATATATATATATACATTAGATGTAACTGTCAGAACTATGCTAAGTTTTTTTTCTTGCACATCTCTCTTATGCAACTCTCTTCTGGCTTCTTTCTTTCTATTTAACTTTGACCTTCAAAAATGTAAATGCAATGTCAATCATTATCATCTCTATTCTTAATCTTTGTTCTTTTATTGTTTTCCCTCTTTAATAATTTTTCTTTTTCTCATATCCTCTCACACTTAGTAACCCCTTGTGTCTTAGTGGCTTTATTGCTTTGTATGGGATGAAATGATTAAAAAAAATATTGATTATATTATATATTATGATAGATATAATATATTACAGAAACTATTAATTAAAATATTATCTATTGATTATTTTAATCCCATGGTTTGAGTTCATGAACAAAAATTGGAAGAATTTTTCCCCTCTCTGATGCAGGCTTTCAGGTGACTAGTGAAGTCTCTATGGAAAACACATGCTTTTCCTTATTGATTGCAGGAGAAGTTCTGTCAGCAAGCAGAAGTTCTACCCTTCAGTCTTTTTGATTCCTGTTCTTTTATTGTTTTCCCACTTTAATAATGTTTTTTTCCCATATTCTTTCACACTCAGTAACCCCTTGCATCTTAGTGGCTTTATTGTCTTGCTTGTGGTGGAATGATTAAAAAAATAAATAACACAATTCACAAACAAAAAGATAGTTAATTGATACATACCAAACAGCATCAGGGTCAGCAGAAACCATTCCTTTATAAATAGCAGCACCAGACATTTTCAGGTACGTAATATTACTATAAACAAAAGAAAACAAATTAAGAGATTTTATCATGATCTACATACAAACCCATACAAATATTGCAAATGTTATATTTACTTGTCAAGAGCAGGATCATTATTGTAACAAGAACAATTTACCTTTTTCTTCTATGTGCCATGTCTCTTCATGATGTAGTCAATCATGACTCTCTACTATTTCCTATCCTTTATAGCAATGTTTGTATTTTTGCTATCCTTACCCATCCCTCTTCTATCATCCATTTACACTAGCTTATTAAGTAGGTTATTTACTGTTTCCCTCTATCCCTCTTGCCTTCATTATGTCCAATGAGTTTTAGATTTTCCAAGCCCTCTTTCCTCATTATGTGTCTCAGAAATTTCTACTGACTCAAAGTGTGCTTTATGGTTTGATTTCCCTTCATGCTCCATCTATGGTATCCTCAGTATCCTTCTGTAGAAAAACATTTCTGTTGCCACAAGTTTCCTCTTCTTTTGTGAGGAAATTATCCAGCATTTTTATAAAGTTTGAATTGATTGCCAATTAAAAGATTCATTGCCAACCATTCCAACAAACAATCTATAAATAAATAAATAGTGTTTAATATTTCATGTGTTTAGGTTTTATCAAAATTCTATTCATCATTTTTGAAAACAAACATTACTGAGGAGTGAAAGTAGTTAAAATAATAGAGGTGTCAAAGGAAAAATCATCCTTTTGACACCCTATTTTCAAGATTGCCATATTTTCTTTCATTATAGTTAACTAAATGCAAAATAAGGTGACTTAAATATATATACATATATAAAAATTACAATGTTGTCTTTCAATCACTGGATTCTGTAGTTTGTTGATTGGTTGATTTTGTTTAGCAGCATATTGTCTATGGATTATTTAATGGCAAAATCTAAATATTTTGAATGCAATTGTATGCCTTCAACTACAGATAAAAATGTATTGTTAGTCATTTTGCTTTAAATATGAATTATTGGTAATTTTACTATAAATATGTATGTACTGTTGGTAATTTTAGTATAAAAATGTATTTTTATACTTTCATAGAGTTTTGTTTTTGTTTCATGGTTTACTATTTGTCCATAGCTGGGACCCTAACAAGCTCTACCACCCTGGGTCAGGGTGGACTTGGGAACAACAGAGACAATTAAGTGGTGTTTTCTTTAGAGCGCCTAATAAATACAATAAGGACCAAATACACTATGCATGCAGGTTAATGATCTAGGCTCCTCTGCTGGAATATAGGCTCACAACTTCACTAAAGCAAGATGTTGTTATCCTGATTTCCATAACAAGTAGGTTTTTACAGGGTGGAGTTGTTACTTTCACACACAATTGATTTGTGATTTAGACTTGTTCTTTTTTTTTTCTAGACTGGTTTCCAATAAAAGCGAGAAAACACTATTAGCCCCTAGCTGTGTTGAAAAATGGATTCAAACCTTTTTAAGAGTATTTCCATGAAAGCAAAAATGGCTAAAATTTGAATCAACAAATCCTAATAACTGATACACTACAGGTGCAAATACAAATACTCTACACCTGTAATTATTTAATTACTTGTTTTTTTTTCATCTCATTGTTAGAAAGTTTTGAAAATGACTTTTTCTCTAGTGAAAATCATTCAAAATGTGTGCAATGAAGTTGTTGACATGACTAATGAAATTACAAGGGTGAATTACATTTTGTTCAACAACTTTCATCAATTATTGTGTGTGTGTGTGTGTGTGTGTGTGTGTGTATGCAGCCCCTAAGCCCCACATTCAAATATAGACCTTACATTCTTGTGTGATGTCTGAAAGAGACTACTCATTTCCTCTCTTGGGTGGGTGCTTATATATCTGCAATTACAGTCCTTTCTCACATTTGCATCCCAAGTGTAGCTGGGTCAATCAAGTAAGTCTGCATTGATCAGCCTGGAGGACATCATTCAACCCTCCACCTGACTTCCTTGATGATTTGGTGTGACAATGAGTCTATTCTAGCATCATTAGTAGTGAAATACATTGTACATGCAAATAGCTTTTACTAAGAAACATTATCATGTTCTGAGATATTAACTGTGGTAGCTAATAATTTTTTTTGTTTTTTACAAAAATAAACAAAACAGTATAGAATTTATTTCAATATACATTTTATGCTAGAATGGCAGAAATTTACCTGGATTTGGGTCGCATTTCATTGAATAAGTCAGTTGCATAAACATGATTTGTTCCAAGTTCTTTAATAGTCTAAAAGTAAAAATGGAATAATTACAGGACATATAAATTATACAAATATAACCTTTTCACATGTTTCAGAAAATATCTTACAGTGAAGATGTAATCAAGTCCCTTCAGTTGGACCACTTATGCCAAATGTCTTTAAGCTATTTTCAGTTATAGATCATGGTTACATTTGTTTATTATTCTCACGTTATGATTTGTCATTAAAAACTCTGGGTTTTTCGATGAGCCATGGTAACTTTATTTCTGAAAAAGTAAAATCTGCCTGTTGCCAAAAGACAAATTGGAAGAAAAATGGACACTCTTTCTTCTATAAAAATAAACAATATTTTTATTTTTTCAATTTACATCTGTCTGTCTCTCTCTATCCATTTTCTATGGGTGCGGTGAATGAAAATGAGTTATTTCTCTTGCACTTGAGAATGGTGGGGACAATTGTCAGCCTAGACCTTTTTTTACTTAATAACAGGGATTGTAGAATTCAGAGAGCAACAATAATTTTCTTTTTTCAGCAGTCTCGCAGAAGACAGGTAACAGCTAACTGCTACTGAAAAGCTGGTAATGACTGGTTTACAGGCTGGCCTGGCTTGTTTCATCATACAACTAGCAATATAACCCATATTCAACCGGGTGTTTCATTACTGGGAATTTTTGCCATTCAATTGGAGCAGTTTAAGTTTAAAGTCAGCCACACCAAAAATCAATATTAGTAACAACAATTGGGTACAACTGAGACACATCCCCAAATAGGGAGTTAACAATTTGAATGGGGGTTGGCCATGAAAAGGACCGTTTTTGCGTTCTCAATCATGTAAGAAAGGAACCTTTTTTACGGATCGTCATAATAATAATATACAATGATTTTTTATTTGCAATATAATTTTTTTTTGTAATTCTAATAATTTTTTGCTTTAGACTTCAACTCTCTAAATTGATTGTACCCTGTTTTTTTTACAGACATTAAATTTTGCTTTTGATTTTTATGCAAAGTGTAAAAAATCTGTTTTTTTCGATTTTTCATCTTCAATGTTGTAATTTTTTCCAGCCAATTTGTACTCAAAGCCAGCACTGAAGAATTTTCTATCAAACAAAAAAAATTAATCGAAATCGGACGAAAACTGTGGAAACACATAAACAACATCCAATGAAAAATAAATGTTAAAATGAAAAGTTGGTTTCCCCATGCCAAGGAGATTAATGATGGATGGTAATGACAAGGAATACTTAACTTTCTTGGTGAGTTGAAATAAAGTTCTTTGAAATGCCAAGCAATTTATTAAGGTCGATAATATAATAAGTGAATAATTTGACACTAGTGAAAATCTGAACGATGGATGTGTGAACAGAACTGAAACTTTGCCCATGACTTTCTACACTTTTCTCTTGTTGATTTAATTTTTCTCCTTATTTTATATCAAAAAGGATTCCACATAAGATGGCTATTTTCTTTTTTTTCTTTTTCTAGGTACCACAGCTAATTCCTGAAGTTTGCAGATTGTAATAAGGTTTTAGATTTATGATTAGTAAAAATAGTTTTACTTAATAAAAGTTTTAACAACTTTATAAATAATTGTATTTAAAATTGTAAAACAAAACAATTAATTTTTCATTGGAAAATTTTTTTGGCTTCAAACAATATTATCCTTAATCTTAACATACATTATTCATAAAAGCAATTAAAAACTTTTCTAGTTTAATAATCTCTTAGTTTTATTGGGTTTTGTATATTACGATTCAGAGCTGATTTTCGGTAACTGGTCATTCGATTTTAGGTTTTGTTTTTATTATTCTTCTTGTTTTTCTTTTTTTGTTATTATGCTTTATCAATTTGTTTTATTTTTTGATCATTTTTTTCAATTAATTTTTTAATATATCATTTACTGTTCTCCACCAATTTTTCTTTATAAAAAGATATGCACTCAGTCATTTTACAAAAAAACATACATACATTCATACAGACAAAATCTTTCTTTTATATATACAATAGTCCAAAGAAAATTTCACATAGGCTCACAAATTTGTTTTGTCTTTTTCTTCAGCTCACCAGTCAATCTCTTTGAAGATTTCTTTTAACTAAGGTGAGCAAATTTATTGCCATCTTTTTCCACAGCTCACCCAAATTTGGAAGGAGTGGGTAAAGGGAGTTATTATTAAAAAGATGTGTACTCAGTCATTGTACAAACAAACATACATACATAAAGACAGACACACTATCTTTTATAGATAGATAGATAGATAGATAGATGTACATTTTATCTCACCAGCAACAAAACTGAGTTTCATACACAACATAATCATCAGATGCTGATTGAAAGCTGATCATTGCATAATTTAAATATTGATATTTATACAATACTGATGACTACATTTTGCATGAAACTCAGAGTTGTGATGCTGCTGAGGAAAAATGCATATTTATTATTAATATAAATTATAGCTCTGTTATTATACATCAAGTACTATTTTATATGGTGGACTCTCCCATCGTGTTCAATGTATGAAGTTCAAGCAGCTCAGTTCCTAGGAACCGACAGCCCAGACAACAGCACATATGATTTGATTATAGTGGTGAAGGCTTTGTGCAGAACCAACCACACTTTTTGAAGGGCCAAATACCTGGTGCACTACATGCCTCAAGGTCCCCAAACAAACCTCTGCAGGTTTTGAATTCAGAGTTGTCCTTCTCCTAGACCAGATACCATCCAAGGCTATAGAACCCAGTCTGTCCTGATATTTACCCATATCAGGAGAGAGAAGATTCATACCTTTCCCAAAGATATTAGCACATAAGTGAATTTAATGGATTCGACTGGAATTTGAACTCAGCTCTCTGATTCCTCAATGCGAGCCACTATCCACTATTCCACCATGCCTCCTATTTTATATGTGTGTGTGTGTGTGTGTGTGTGTGTGTGTGTACTGTGATGAAAGTGATTTCTTTTTTGTTGCATCTAAAACATTTTCAGCTCACCTCTTCAATAAACCTCCTACCAACTTCAGCAAAAAGTGGATCATCAAAATTAATAATGGTGGTCCTGAAAAGAAAAGAAAATCCAGCTTAGAAAGAAAATAAATATTTAGTAAGCATTGATAACAATTAAAAGATAATATATGCTTTGCTATTTGAACCAGCATGATTGTCTTGGTCATTTTACTCACAATATTTTGGCAGTTGTACCCACCTTGCTAATCAATAATCAAGCCAAGGTTTTCCATATAATTGACTAACATTTCTTAAAGGCAGTTTTCTTTGCGGTTGGATTCAAACTATAGAGTAATTGGCCATGGTTAAATAAATGCAATTGGCAGAGATGCCCAACAAAATAAAATTGACTAAGTTCTCAATAACAGAGGTAGAAATAAAAAGAACATGGCAAAAATAATACTAGGCAAACAATATACACAAGGCAAACAACAGCAATAATGCAAAGCCACAGTAATAAGGGAAAAGGTTCACAAACTAAGAATTGTATTCTCAAGATGCAATAGAGACAAGTGATCACAGAATAGAGTCAGATGAGACTGAGAAGTGGCCTATTTCATTGGCTAGGAAGAAATTTTGTGTGTGTTATATATAAATTTGTGGTGGGGGAGATTTTTGTGTCATTCCATACAGATTGGAGACAACACATCCCTCAATCAAATGGATGATGTATTCATTTCCCTCCCCTTCCTCACTTCTATGGGCCAATAAATACAAACAAGATACACAAACATTTACAACTGTTTTGCATTTTGAGTGATTTTTTTTAATATCTTAATATTTCAACCCATTTTATTTTATTGTTATAATATTTTTTTAAACTTGCTTTTCTTTAACTTTTATTTTTTTTCTTTCTTCTTTTTAAGCATTTTTTTTTAAACAAAAGGGTTAAAAAAATGTGGGGGGGAATGGGGGAAAGAAAAAAAGTATAAGCAAGAAGTTCCATTTAGAGCATTCAAAAATTTATTTAAATTTACTCTGCCAATAGGTTTAGTAAATAAATTGGCAAAAATTTGGTCTGATGGAATATAGTCCAGCTTTATTGCACCATTTTGAATTTCAGTCCTTATAAAATGGTACTTTATGTCGACATGTTTTGAACATTGGTGATAGACAGGGTTCATAGCAAGAGCTATGGTACCTTGATTATCACAATAAATAGTGGCTTGTTCATTTTCATTTGAATTAATCATGGTGTTTAATAACTGCTTCTTTATTTTTTATTATTTTATTCATTTGTATTCTGTGTAAATACAAGTCTGGTAAAAAGCAGGAGAAACCTTGAATAATTAAATATGTGTGTAAGACTTGGTTCCAATTCTGGCTGCTTTGTTTCAGTCCATATAATGACTGTTTTTAGTCACCATAGAAGTTTGTCATTATCTGTCTATATTTCTGAAATGTGATATTATGTACATTATTTACATTATTCGGACTATTGTCCTCATCTTTGTCACCATAGTTATTACAACGTTTCGGCCATTGTACACTCCGGCCTTCTTCAGGTGGTTGGAATGTTGAACTGAACCCTTTATTTCACTCACTGGGGTAGACTGTTCTAGTTCTACATGCAAGGACACATGGCACAGTGGATAAAAGCATTGGTTAGATCTAGTGACAGGACCCAAAGAGTGTGAGTTCAATACCTGGTTAAGGCAGTGGAGAACTTTCAGAGGGAAATTAACAGGAGATAACTGACATCCATTAAACATGGCACATGGAACTAGAACAGTCTACCCAAGTGAGCAAAAAAAAGGGTTCAGTTTGAAATTCCAACCACCTGAAGAAGACCGGAGCATACAATGGCTGAAACGTTGTAATAAATATGGTGACAAAGATGAGGACAATAGTCCAAATAATGTAGATGAGTTTGTCATTGTTTTTGCTGGAAATAAACAGTCCTCTGGATGCTGGACATATACTTTGCATTTAAGTATGTGTTTTTTATATTCATTTGGTGGACAAATTATGCTGAATAGCAAATTGCATTAATGTCCTTGTAGTATCGTATGCAAATTAGATAGACAAGAATAAATAGAGAACAAATGGCGAACATCGGGGGCTATGCCTAGCAAACCCAGTTGCTATTCAGGACACAGAGAACTGTACTACGACTACTACTACACAGAGAGATATGCAAAACATAACAGTTTTTACAATAAACATGCTATAGAGGCAAAAAAGTTTCATTATAATCTATTCCAGCTTTTTGCAAATAATCTTTCACAACAAAACAAGCTTTGTCCTGTTTGTCACCAGTTTTATTAATTTTAATAGTTTAGACCCACTTAGTTCTAACCAGAGTTTTACCTGTTGGGAGTGTAGTTAATTCATATGTATCATTCATTTTTAGAACATTTATCTTTTTTTATGGTCTCATTTTATAGTCATTTGAAGTAATAGCTTCAATATAAGTATTTTATGGAGTAGCAATAATCTCTATAGTAGGATTTTCCATGTAATCTTTTAAGCATTCAGGCATTTTTCATGACCTGCTGTGGTATCTTCTGTCGGATATTTCCACACTAGGATTATCATCTGTGTTATTAGTTGGATTTTGATTATGTAATTTGACTTTCTTGTCTGTCTTCCCCACAAGGATTTTTCTCTAAATAGTTGGGAAGTAATATAGCATCTTCTTCAACTGAAAGTGAAGAACTGTCAGAGGAATTTACACACCTAACCCTTTTGATGTTTTTAATCTCTGGTATGTATGTTAGATAGGCAGGACTTGATTCATCATAGCCTATAAAAATTGCTCTTTCACATTTAGTGTCCAATTTCTTTGACCTTGTATGTAGGCATAACAAACTGTACCAAATATATGCATATTACTGAGGTTAGGTTTGCAATTCATAAACATTCTGAAGGCAGTTTTCTTGTTCTTTGAATGTAACAGCAATTTCTAATGTATGCAGTGGTTATAATAGCATATGACCACAAGAATTTTGTTAGTTTTGATTCAATTAATAGACATCTTCCCATTGCAAATAGAGATTGCCAAGATCTTTCTGTAATGCCATTTTGGTGGGGCAGAGTATGGAGCTGATTTCTCATGTTTAATATGATTATTGTATTATGAATAATCAAGAGTGGTCTCCCCTTGTTTCATTACTCTCCTCTTTAAGAGAGCTATTTCTGTTTACTGGAACTATAAAAGGACACAATATGCAAACCTTGTATTCTCAGTTGAATAAAGCTTTCTTAAGGCTTACATCTGTGTACTTTTGTCATTATATATTGATTAGAAGAGTTTCAAAATTTTCAGAAATTAATTCTGTGCCATTATCGTTTCTGAGGCGTTTTACAGAGCCATACAGAGTGATGTCTGCCAAACATATTTTCATAGCAAGAAACATTGTTTTTGTGTTTCAGAAAATAAACCGTGATTAGACCGGAATAGTCATCAACAAAACAGTATATATTTGAAGACATTCAAAAGATCTCGATTCAATTGGGCCGGCCAGATCATATGAACATATTTTATTTGCCTGTTTATCGGATAATTTATTTTTATATTTGACTTGCATACATATTTCACAGTTTAAATTTAATTTTATCTGTAATTTTCATGCCTGCCACATTTGGTAGTTTTACAATGTCCTACAAATTGCAACATCCAAGAATTTGATGCCATTGTTTTAGGCTATACATAGCAGTTTTGGTGGTTGGTTATTGCAGTATTTAAATAGTACAAGCATCCATCTCTTTTTATGTCAAATTTTACACCAATAGTTCCAAGTAATTATGACCAAATTTTACAGAAGTGGCCTGTACCAAGAATATACTATATTTAAATGTAAAGATATAAAGAGTATCCTTTAAAATGCAGTTTTGCATATTTCCTTCCATATCCATTAAAGTAACTTGAGCATTGTCTCTTTTTAAAGTAATATTACTTGTTCTACTGCCATCTGCCAGCTCAATATGGTGATTTTCTGGATTAAAATCATTATTGAAACTAATTTAGATTCATCCATAATAACATGAGTTGTAGCTCCACAATAAGTAAATTGTTCCTGTTAAGATAGAAGTCATGGTCCAAATGCAAAATAAATAACACAAATGTCCAGTGAACTGAATTAACAATATTTGCAATAGAAAAAAAAGGAGACAAAACTTAAATGCAAGTAAGCAAACAATGTAAGTAAAGTAAATTCACAGGTAAGAAAGCAAAAAGGTTTATGAACCATGAATTAGCATATACGCAGAAAAGCTAGGTTAGACAAGTGAACCCAATGATCTTCCATATAGACAAGGTAGATCTGGACTGAGTCAAATCAAATTGTAAATCAACCTATTTTATTGACTAAGAAAAGTATCCCATCATGCATTTTGTGGATTTTTGCCTATAAAAGGTGAAGGGGAAAACTTTTGCAGTCATTCAGTACAGATTAGCAAGGTCAATACCCCAGAGGGGTATACTCTGAGGTCAACTGAGGGCATGTGTGAGGCATTTCAGCAGCATTTCAAGAGCCATTTTACTAAGGAGCCTGGTCTCAGTGGTGACAAGTTTCGCAGCTATTTGGCTGACTTTCCTTAACTGAAGTGGTTAGCTGTGAGGTGAGATCACAGAGGGTGATGTTCTCTTGGCATTGAAGAGGTACAGTAGTAGCAAGTCTCCAGAACTTGATGGTCTGCCCTACAAATTGTTTTTTGTTCCAATTTTAACAGTGGTGTTCAACAACTGGTTCCAGCAGGGGTCCATCCCTGATCAGATCTCCAGGGGTGTGATCACGCTATTGAAAAAGGTCAAGGGTATTGGGCAGGAATTAGAATATTATAGGCCTATAACTTTGCTAAACACAGAGTTAAAGATTTTAGCCAGGATCCTGATGGAGCGTTTGCAGTCAGTTATCATGAGCTTGTTGTGGCCCAAGCAGACTTGTGCTATGAGGGGACCATCAATTCAAAGCAACCTGCATCTGGTCCACACATTGACAGAAGATTCAATTTTTGAAGAGAGTGTTAGGGACACCTTCCCTAGCAGTACCACCACTCTCTCCATTCTGAGCAATATTGTTATCCTTAGAATGACTGAAAGTTCCTGTCCAGCAGCTTACAGACTCTGCCTTGGTCCAGAGAATATTGTATCATGATCTAAGGGGGTCACAACAGGCCGACTTTGTAGCTGGCTTGGATTGTTGGCATCAGAATTATGCTCTTTTTAGTCTTGGGCACCAGTGGCAAACTACCTCAGCAACCCTGAGTTTTCACTTACCTGGTGATTGATTCATAACATGCTACCTCTCAATGATGGGGCTGGGCGGATTTGCCCATAATCAGTGTGACCTTGGTTTAGAGGAAATAGATTCACACGCCTTCTACCATTGTCCTAAGGTGCGCCCATTCTGGGACTATGTCGGCAAGTTGACAGCTCATGTTGTTCCCAATTGGCTTGTGTCCATTGATCTCACATATGCCTATGAAAATGTGTGGCCCCCGTTCTCTGGGGTGAAACAGATGGTGTTTCTTAAGTTGCTAGCTGTGGCAAGAATAGTGGTATGGACATTGCAAATGGAGTTTATCTTGCGATATGAGCGTTATTCTCATCAGGATCTGGTTGGAATCTTTGGATATCAGCTCAAGATGAAGATCACATTTGATAGAAAGCATTTGATATAAACAGATTTCAGCAAAAGGTGGGTATCTATGGCGAGCATGGTTCGTGTGAATGGGGATAGCCTTGATTTTCTCTTTTGAGTCTCCTTGAGAACAGTGGGGTGGTTACAAAATAAATATACATTCCATACAGATTAGAAATCAATAGTTCCTGTTAGAAATAGTATCTAGTTCAATTGAAAATAGGAATGAATTTTCAGTTTGTGAAAAATGTTCAACATTTTTTACAAAATTACATTTTGTCTGCTTCTACACTCAATACCTTTATGTGCAGATTTACAACATGCATGACAAATATTTTTACTTGGTAGATTGGAATTATATCCTTTTGAGGGGGAATTATTTACCAAATAATTCCAAATGTTACTTTGGCAGTCAGAGCCTTTTATTATCAAAGGAAAACTGTCGTTTTGACACTTTTATTTTTTGACATGAAGGTCCAAGACAGTTCAGTATCCATTAGTGTATATATATGCTAAAAAGTTGAAAATTAGGTATTAGGAAAGTAACATTATTATTGTCAAATTCACCTAAAGTTTGAGGAGCACATTCAATGAATTATAATTTTAATAAATGAAATAATTGTTTGTTTTTTTTATGCCATATACCAGGAGTTGGCAACTCATACAACACAGCAGGCCGGATTGTGTTATAATGACAGGTCGCGGGCCGGACGAAGGCCATTAATGAAAAATTAAGGAAAATTACATATGCAGACCCCTGTCAACATAAATATTTAAAACCATAATGAAAATAAACATTGAGAAATCAGAAAAACAAAAGAAAATCTAAAATTAAAAAACACCTAACAAAAATTATTTTTCCTCAAGGAACGTCAAACTCAAAATACTTCAAAGTGAAAAAAATCAACCGAAGTGAAATTAGGACGTGTAGGTTTGAAACTGTTATTGAAAATTGTTCCACAAACGAACCACACACACACACACACACATCAAACAAAAACAAATCACATATACCCATACATACGAGTACAAATAGTTGCAAACATATACACTTACATACGTACACATGTGGTATCATCCACACATTCATGAGGCATGTATGTATAATGCGCGTATGTTTAACTATCTTTAGATTTCTGCTACCGCACATGTCAGTCCCTCCCTGGCCTCTTTCACTTTATCGTTCTTTTCCTTTCTGTTATCTTTTAATGTAGCCAAGGTCATAACAAATATGTATCCATTATTTGACATTAAACGTAGGCAACGCAACTTGGTAAAATAAGTCTCATGAAAGATAACTGGCAGATAGTCTAATTCAAAAGCCTCGTCTCTCATGTTAAAAATAGTCATTGGTAATCAGGCTCGTGAGTCGGTCAAAATGCCGACCCTTGCCATATACCTTTAAGATATTTGCAATCATGGTTTTCTTCAGATTCCTTTTTTGTAATATCTAAATTATCATGACTTCTTGGGAAGATAATGGAGTAGTTTTTTGTTGCCATTACCACAGTTTTGAATTCAGAGGAGTCCTTCTCCTAGACTAGATGCCATTCAAAGTTAGAGAGCCTGGTTTACCCTGCTATTTAACCCATGGCTGAGGGTAGATAAGATGGAATTATGTCTTCCTTAAGTGAATACAACAAACTAGACCAGAATTTGAACTCAGTTCACTAATTCCACTTTCTGTACTGATAACAAACTACCCATATATTTTTTTTTAATCATTTCACCCCAAGCAAGGCAGTAATGCCACTAAAATGCAATGGGTTACTGGAAGTGAAAGAGAATGAGAAGACTTTAGTGAGGAGAAAAGACAATAAAAGAACAGGATCCATGAGGACAGAAGATTGCGATTGATGTTGCATTTAAATTTTTAAAGATTCTAGGTGACAGAGAAGCAAGAAACCTAAAGAGTGTTCCACAAGCAAGAAGTGCAAGAAAAGAAACAATTAGAATAGAACTTATGGTTACAGCTAGCTAGTTTAACAGTAAAGCAGTGAAATCCAGTTGCCAATCTAGTAGCACACTTAAATTTACACCGTTGAGGTACTAAGGAAGAAAATATCATCAGAACAATTGCCATGAAAATATTTGTAGGAAAAACAGAGGGAATTCACATAATGCCAGTGAGAAAGTGACTGAAATCAAGATGCCAGATCAGGATCAATTATATTACAGACCCTTCTTTGAATTTTGTCAAGAATCTCAAGATATATAGTAGGAGCATCAGACCAGATATGGTAGCAATATTCAATGCATAGACAAATGGTAAATTTATAGATGTGCAAGATGGATTTGATGGTGACACTATACAGAATAAATATGTAATTGTAAAAGTTTCTGTCAGTACTTACCCACTGTACGGTGGTTTAAATTGACTCCAGTTTGTCAATGTCGACACATTCACATTTGGGTACAATCTAAAAAGAAAAACAGTTTATATATAAAGTCAGGAATATCCAAGCTGGTAGATTAAAATAAATGTGAAAGACAAATATATTCTTAGATAAAGGTTCCTCCAAAAGTAATACTTCCTGTTTTATTATTTTCACCCATAAAATCCAAATTGGTTGAATCTTCCTACCAATAACCCATAATCTTTTTTTTCACCTTGTTACAGCCTGGAAAAATAACATCTAAATGAATCATGAAATATTAGAGTGAATAAAATATTATATAATGAAGATTCAAGTTTTGTGTAATCAATTAATCGGCATCTTCCACTTCATTACACTGGACTTCATCAGTTTATGTCATTCCAGGTAACCTTCTGGAAATTTAAACTGAACCCTTTATTTAATCTTCAAATGGGTAGATTAAATAAAGGGTTCAATTTGATAATAGCAACAAAGATTGTAATATAGCAACAACTCTAAATAGAAGCTTATGAAGCTTTATTTGTGTTATAGTGGAACACACCTATTCTATAGTTAATAGACTCTCACACCTATAATAAGTAGGAGTCAGTGAGTCAGTCGATGTCGGACAACAGTTAGTCAAATACTAAAGTATCAGCAACCACAACTAGATTACTCTATGTTATACCTATTATATCAAGTTCCTAACGTTTTGTATGTCGAACCTATTTTAGGACCAACTTAGTACAAATACAAGCCTCCACTGTGAAATCACTCTACAACAATTTGACTAATACAAAAACGTGGTACAAGGCCAAAAGAGGGAGATGTGGAAGACTGGTCTTCAATCTGCCTTATTTTAAATTTAGCTACCTACAATTACTGACCCAAACATACCACAGTATTCCTTACACCAAAACGAAACATTCATACTTACCATTCTTACTAATGCCTCAAAGTTTCTATGAAGTCATAACTAGTTCCCATATGTACAATGGGTGGGGATAAAAATAACAATATTTAAAAATAAAACCCTAATGAATATTTACAATGATTACAATTTATATACAAGAAACTAAACAAGCTTTAATTCAGCTTTGATGTTGAAAAAGGTTTATTTTATTATAGTAGATGTTTTTAAACAAGAGGGGGAGTTGGGATATGCTTATTTTATTACCACAGGCCCGTAGATAAATAAGCACAATGAAAAAAGTCCATAAATCTCCTATTTTTAAATCAAATCATCCAATGCAAGGCAATAAAGCCACTAAGACACAATGAGTTACAGAGTGTGAAAAAAAAATTCACTGTCATAAAATCTTATCCCTATCACTGTTAATCTTATAGATAGATATGAAGAGATAGCTAGATAGATGAAATAAGAGAAAATTAGTCCAACTATGCTTCATAATGAATGTAAATATAGTAGACCTATGAAAATAATCAAAAAAGAAAGAACAATATCAAGTATAATATTTTATTAGGCCTTGTAAAGTACTGACAACTGTAGATAGAAGTTTATGAAGTTTTATTTGATTCATTCTACTTTAATGTTGAAAAAGGTTTATTTTATTATAGTGCATGGTTACAAGTGTGAGGGGTGATGGGATGCGCTTATTTTATTACCACAAAGACACTAGTCCAAATATAGATTTGGTAAATAATGATAACTCTTCATCCCAGAAATTCAGACTGAAGGCGATCAGGTGATAAGAACTACAAAGATGAGGACATTAGTCTGAATGTAAATAATTATAACTCCTCATCCCAGAATTTCAGACAGAACATGATAATGTTATTACAACAATGATGAGGATATTAGTCTGAATGTAAATAATGATAATTCCACAATCTGAGAAATTCAACTCACTTTTTAATATTTGCTGGCACATGACCTCCAAATCCAGCTAAAACAGGAATCATTCCCAAAGAACGCATTCTGCGAAGGATTCGGTGCTGCAATACCAATTGATCATTTATCCAAGACTGTGGAAGAGGACCACCCCATTTTTGAATATTGCCCATACGAAACCTGGAATGGAGAAGAAAAATGTATCAAAACATTATTTGTAAAAAAAAAAAAAAAATATGGAAACTGACAAAAAAATGATTTTAATGTGGAAGTTTACAGGAATGACAGTTTCTTTCGGGTCATTTGCAAATTTTGTAAGCACAATCATTTTTGTTGTCACTAAACCCTAAAATAGCACTTGTCTCATAAGCACTTAAAAAGAGCAATGACATTTATCATCACACCAGCACTATATTAGCACAGGTCTCATTGGCACAGAGAGAGCAATCATTCTTGCTGTCATGAAAGCTCTAAACCAGAACCAATCTTGTAGGTTTACAAAAGGTAAAAAAAACAGTTAGGTCTTCACTATATTGGAACATCTCATAGTTGGAAAGAGGACAATCATTCTTGTTGCCATGCAAGCAACAAACTGGTACCAATCTCATAGGCCTGAAGATGGTAATCATATCTGTTATGTCTACACTATATTGGCATATGTCTCATAGTTGGAAAGAGGACAATCATTCTTGTTGCCATGCAAGCAATAAACTGGCACCAATCTTGTAGGCTTAAAGATGGTAATCATATCTGTGATCATACCTGCATTATATTGGTACCTTCCTCAAAGCTTCTTTTAACTTTCCCTCATTTTTTTGCTATTCAATGAATATAATAAAATGAGGATTATATTGTTCATTCTTCTTCTATCTACCATGTCCATCCAGGATAATGGCTCTCCACCACTTACTGTTCTTTGTAGCTTTTAGTAAATTTTTTTTTTTTTTTTTTTTGTTATCTCTCTTAAACCTTGATTTGCCATCCATTTACTCAAGATTACTAGGTAGGTTGTTTTCCTCCGTCTCTCTTGCCTTCAATCTGCCCTGTGAGTATTAAATTTTCCAACCCCTCTTTCTTCATTATATGCCTTAGAAATGTCTACTTCCTCACTGGTACTTATAGTCCAAATACAATAAAAAGACAAAAACAAACAAAAAAAAAACAATGGCAGCTGATTTACTGCAACATAAAATAATATCAATATAGAAATACAACTAAGGAGGTTCTTGTTCGCTCTATTACTAGCTGTGTACTGATTTGTCATTAACCTCATAAAACTAGTTCAATCTATATAATAAATGTGAATGTCACTGTGTCACTATGTCACACTTTTCAACTTTACTCCTAGAGGTTGTAGCTCAACATATATCATTTTGGAATCAGGCTGACTGTGAGCAAATTAAAAACATATGGGCCAGACCCGGACCCGCAATGATGAAATTTTGGATTCCCAAGTTTTCATTACTGTGAGTGTTTTTTAGTGAGTTTTTGTATGTGATTTTTTGCGACAAATTTTTTTATACGATAACAATTTTTATAACTTGGAAATAAATTTGGGAATAATCAAAATTAATTGCGAAATCCAGCAAAACTCACCCATGAAATAAAAATAATTGTTTATACAGAAAGTAAGAACCTAAATACATCAAATTGTGTTTAAATAAAAATGGTGACAGAAGAATTAACACTGAACCTTTAAAAGGTAAGCTTAAATATTAATGTAATACTTAAATGCAGCGATCAATTTTGAGTTCTTCTTCCTCACTACTTATTGTGAAGCAGGCCCAATCAAGAGTCTGCTGCAGGAGTTAGCTTAAATACTGCCCAATAGGGCAGCTTTTAAGCTAGTATGTTAAACACATATACAAGTAGGTTTTTTTTTCTCAATTTAACCTACAATTATTGAGAGTCACTCAAGTTAGAGGGCTACAGTCAAAATGTAATATGAATGGAAGAAAAAGGAGGATACATAATGATGGACAGCTTAACTTGAAGAGATTGTGACTGAAGTGTTCAGGGAAGCATACAAGTGGGAGTCTATTCCACAAAGTGGATGTTTTGTAGGAAAAAATGAAGTTTCCTTTTTATATTTTCAATATGGAGAAAATCAGTTTCATTTCTATGTAAATTTTGTAACCTAGGGAAGGTTACTGAATAGAATAATCACACAAAGGTTGGTAATGACTGATAATACTTAGGACATGAACAACACATATAAGATTCACCAGCAGCAGGTAGAAGTAGTAGTCAACTGCTAGAAGTGAGTCAAGTGAATTCTACAATGAATCTCCAACTGCAGAAGATCTACCAACTGCCCCACACAGTCAGGTGTGGCACAAGGCCGAATTTAATGTAGGGTATCCGAGCCTGTAGGGCCGGCCAAAAATTCCCTGTAGTCCCCGTATAAAACAAGGTCAGGTAGCTGTTTCCCCCAGACAAAATTCTGCCCTTTGACATAGCCTCATCTGGGGATCCTCTCTGCCCATAGGCAGAGAGTTTGACCAGCACAGCTGGAGACGAATCTCCAACTGCAGACCAACATACAGTATTTACTACTGTATTTATGTGAATTGGGACATACCCATTATCGTCCGTAGGTATGCTACAACAGTAAAGTAAAAGTAAATAAATAAAAAACAAATGAAAGTAACAAGTTGAACAACCCAACCTCTAAGCAAAGCAATAAAGTAGATGAACTAATATCATAGACACATGAGTTTTGTCTATTTAATTTGTTTTTAATCATTAATTGCCCTAAGCAAGGCAATAAAGTGGATGAACTGATATCATAGACATAAGATTTTTTCACTTATTTTTTTTTTTATCATTAATCATCCTAAATAAGGCAATGAGGCCACTAAGGTACAAGGGGTTACTGAGAGTGAAAGAAAATGAGAAAATTTTTTTGAGAAGAGAGGATACTAAAAGAACAGCATTCAAGAAAACAGAAGATGCACTTAAAATTTTTAAGTTCATAGTTGACAGTAACTATCTCAGCCACAAGTTCTTTGCATTCTCATTTCAATACATCAGGATAAACAGTTTAACAACTTTTTCATTTTGAGAAAATATTATATTTCCCTGACACTCACCAAGCAAGAAAAGCTGGTCCAGTAAAAAAGTCATCAAGATCTTTTTGTGTGAAGTTCATGTTAGTAAAAACCTAAGAGAAAAAACAGAAAATTATATTAGAAACATGTAATCTATTTAGAAATTTCATTAAAAAAAAAAAAATAAATTTTACAGTTAAGAAAATTATTGGTATATTCTTCTTCTCCTTCCATGTGTTGTGTCCTTTCAGAATGGCTCTCCACTACCTCCTCTCCTTCTATGTGCTGTATCCCTTCAGAATGGCTCTCCACTACTTCCTCTCCTTCTATGTGCTGTGTCCCTTCAGAATGGCTCTCCACTACTTCCTCTCCTTCTATGTGCTGTGTCCCTTCAGAATGGCTCTCCACTACTTCCTCTCCTTCTATGTGCTGTATCCCTTCAGAATGGCTCTCCACTACTTCCTCTCCTTCTATGTGCTGTATCCCTTCAGAATGGCTCTCCACTACTTCCTCCTTCTATGTGCTGTGTCCCTTCAGAATGGCTCTCCACTACTTCCTCTCCTTCTATGTGCTGTGTCCCTTCAGAATGGCTCTCCACTACTTCCTCTCCTTCTATGTGCTGTGTCCCTTCAGAATGGCTCTCCACTACTTACTGTCCCTTGCAGCACTTAATAAATTTTCTCTTTTTGTTATCTCTCCTAAACCTTACCCTGCCATCCATTTACTAAAGCTTGCTAAGTAGGTTATGCACAGTTTTTCTCTATTTCTCATCTGTCCTGTGAGTATCGAACTTTCCAAGCCCTTTGTCCTCATTATGTGCCCTAGAAATTTCAACTACCTCTTCCTGATGCTAACTATAAGTGTCCTTTTTGTTTTCATTTTTCCTAAAACTTCATTGTTGCTCACATTCAGTGTATTTTAAAAATTAATTAAGCAAAAATCATTAAGGCAGACAAGTGTCATGCATGATATACACTTGGGTGATCATGTCTCTTTTGATTTATGACTGATTAGGCAGAGGATTTTCCACTAGACTGTTGTTTCTTTCTGCAGTAGACTGGTTGCCAACCAAGGCTATAGGGCTTTGCTATTCAACCCATAGCTGGGAGGAGAAGAGATGGATTCATACCTTTCCCAAGGGTATTTGCATGTAAGTGAATGCAATGAACTCAACTGGAATTCGAACCCGGCTCTCCAATTTTCTACAAGATGAAAATATTAGCAATTTGGTAGATAAAACTACATCCATAAAAAACATTAAAATATATTTTCAAATATATATTCCATATTCTTGAATAGATAACTGTTTCTTTTTAAAAAAAATTCAAGAAAGTTTTATCTTTGTTAGTTTTTATACATGATGATCCCAACCATAAAAATATCGTACCAATCTATTTTTAAAAATTTGAAAATAAATGTTTAAAAAATTAGGGATTTATTTGTTTCTTACAGATTATCAACCCTTTGTGAGTTATTTAAAGTGAAACATATTTTGGATTGTAAGAATAAATCTTTATTATGAGCGAATATTGTATTAAAAATTTTTTGAGCATGAAAATGATTTTTCCAAGCACAAATTCTACTATTTAACCCATAGCTGAGGGAGGAGATCGGTTCATGCCTTTCCCAAGGGTATTTGCATGTAAGTGAATGCAACAAAACCAACTGGAACTCAAACTGGCTCATTCAAAGCCCATATCTATTACTGTTGTAACATACCTACGGATGATAATGGATATGTCCCCATTCACATAAATGCAGTAGTGAATACTGTATGTGTTGGTCTGTGGTCTGCAGTTGGAGATTCATTGTGGAATTCACTTGACTCACTTCTAGCAGTTGACTACTTCTACTATACTGCTGGTAAATCTTATATGTGTTGTTCTTGTCCTAAGTATTATTGTTCATTACCAAACTTTGTGTGATTATTCTATTCAGTAACCTTCCCTAGGTTACAACAATTACATTAAATACACATTTACCTAAAAATTAGAGACCAACTTGCTCTATTTCCCTAAAAAGTTATGGTCAATGCAATTGATATCAGCATGGAATGAAAGTTCAAATTCTGAACTACCCCAGTGTATTCACTTTTGCACAAATGCCCTTAGGAAAGGTATGAATTTGTCTCTTCACCCACCAGTTATTGATTAAATCGTAGTATACACTGGGGTTTCTTGTCTTGGGTGGAAACCAGTCTAAGAGCAGGGAGACCGAATTAAAAACTGTAGAGGAGACAACAGGAAACCACTCCACTATATCTTCCAAGAATGCATGGCAATTCACAGATAATAAGGAAACAAAATCAAGGGTCATGATTGCCTACATACTGAAAAGACAAGAAATAGCAATTTTTAAAAAAAAATGGTTAACAGGAATGTGTATCCCAAAAAATGAAAAAAGGAAGTTGTGAATAAAAGAAGCTTTAAATGAAAAGTGGAAGCAAATTCACTGTAAGAGAAGCCGTAGATCCACGCAGGGCATGAAACCCAAAAGATTCGGTGTGATGTAATGGGATTGGTTTAGCTAATAGGTAATTAGCATAAAGAGAGCTAGAACTATAGCTCACAGGCAACTTTTAATCAGTGAACATAGAATATCTACAGCTACTAACCAATACTGTTTGCCTCTTCTATATGCCATGTTCCTTCAGGACGTTGATGATCACGGCTCTCCACAATTTCCAGTCCTTTGTAGCCCTTAATAAATTTTGTCTTTTTATTATTATCTCTCTTAAACCTTGCTCCACCATCCGCTTACTAAAGCTTTCTAGGTAGGTAATGCATTGTTTTCCTCTGTCCCTTTTGTCTTCAATCTGTCCTGTGACAATCAATTTTTCTAAACCCTCTTTTCCCATTATATGTCTCAGAAATTTCTTTCTGATGTTATGTGTTGCTTTGGTTTCCATTTTCTCTAAAACTGAACATCCTTCTGTAGAACCACATCTCTGTGGCTTCAAGTCTCTTCATCTGTGAGGATATTGTCCACTGCTATATATGAGGATTGATATTACATAACAGTTCAGTTCTTTGTTTCTAACAAAAGTTTTCTTAATGCTTAATGCTTAATGCATACAGTGAAAAAATATTTTTTCTTTTATGGATGAGAGTATGATGCTGAAGTTTTGCATTTAAAATTATATGGCAGAACAATAAAATAAATTTTGTGCTGCCATGCTGTTCATCACATATTCTGGTCAAAAACTTATATTTGTTGCTTAAGTAAATAAATTTGCCATAAAACAAACAGTAAATAAATTAGTTATTTTATGATTAATTTGTTTTAATTAATGCTGTAAATAACTTTCAAAAAAGTATTTTACCTAATATAATAATAACAGAAAAAAAGAAGTGTAAAACATACCCTTTGCATGATGGCTTCTTGTCCGTTGAAGGCCAAGGGAAGGTTAATACCATTCAGAGCCATCCAATCTATTTGTCTTTCCCAATCAGTCCAGTTGTACCAGACAAAAGAGTAACTGACTGTACACACGTTCTCATAGTAACGGAATCTGTCAAAAAAAGTTTGTAATTAATAAAACTCAAAAGACAATTTTAATTAAATATTGCAAAATCAAACCTGTTAATTTAAAATAGATTTTTTATATATATAAAGGGTGTTCCAATAACTTGAACTGATTTTAAAAGTGAATTAAGTTTAAGCGTCTAATGATTTTTTCTTTTTCTTTCAGATTTAACAACTTAAGTCATTGGCAACTTCAACCATGGAAAGATTAACAATCAAACAATATGTTAAAGTTATTGAAGCCTATTACAAAAATGGACATTCAAACAGAATTTGAATGAGAAGTTCCCAAGTTGCATCATCTCTCGAAAGAGCAAAGTAACTTGGCTACCACGATCATACAACTTGACGCCTTTAGATTTCTTCCTTTGGGATCATCCCAGAAGTAAGGTCTATGCCAACAAGTCAACAACAATTCAACAGCTGAAGGATAAGATAATAAGGCATATTGATGAGCAACTATGCAGAGACATCACCAAAAATTTTCACCATAGAGTGGCGGTGTGCCACTGAAGCCTTGATGGACATTTGGGTGATATTATTTTTCACACATAACTGCCATGACTTAAATAACATGATCCAATAGAAAAATAAATTTTCACCAAGAACACTGATTTATTTACTGCTGACTTTGATCCATCTTAATGAAACTCCCTTTATATTTATTAGATACCTCCACTTGCTCACTGAAAAACAGCACAGCATGATGAAAAAAGGCCCCAAACTTAATAAAAACAAAGTTTTATCATCAAAATGTTTATGTTGTTTTTAAGAGGAAAGGACAAAGTATTTTTTTTATTATTTTATTAAATTTCGTAATCATTTCTAGCACATTCGAAATTTTGGTTAAAAATCTTGTATTTTTTTGTTTTTTTTTACATGAGCAATCAGTGTTAATTTACGATTAGTGTTTTGTGCATTTTTCTGGTAAAAAACACATTGATTTGGAGATTCTTGCAAAAATCAAATAATTGTTGGATTTTAATGAAACCTTCAAGACTTATTCACAAATGAATGAAATTATTAAAATATTCAACATTGTTTACTCTTCATGATCTAAGGGAAAAAGCAGCTACGTAATGGATTATTAGTTTCGTTTGGTTTATAACATATCAACATTTTGTAGGTTATTTAATAAACAATAAATATGTAGACATAGGTTTGGTTTACAAAACAGTCATAAAATGTAGGCATGGGAGTGATTTCCACAAGAGATAAAAATGGTAGGCAGTGGACTAGCTTGTACAAGAGACAAAATGGTAGACATAGACCCAGTTTACACAAGATCCAAAATAGTAGATGTGGGGTTCTGTATGCACAACATTTGTAGATGTCTGAAATTGACAGTCACTATGTAGTGTTGATCTCTATGCTAAAATATATATAAAATATATATATATATATATATATATATATATATATATATATATATATAAAATAATTCCAAGAGGATAGAATCCAGGTAGAACTCAATGTCATCAAAAATGTATACTCTTTTCCGGTAAATCTTTAATGTATTAGACATCCGAGAATATTCATATTTCTCTCACTTAAACCGTCTTTGACTCCCCTCTTTAAAACTTCTCTCTGTTAAATTTTAATCCCCCTTCTTCTTTAGACCTTCCTGTTCTTCTCTCGTCTGTTACCCCTCCCTATAGCTTTCATTTACTCTAGCATTCGTCCCACACTCTCATACATACACTCTCACTAAATTTTATTTTTTATTCCAGGAGTTGTTTTTTCTGTTTCCTTTTTGAATTTGTAGGTCCGATGAATTGGATCATATTTACGATTCCAATAGAATAAATTATGACCATGGAATATTAGTGTTTAAGCCTTTTTATTATATATATATATATATATATATATATATATATAAAACAAATTATTGTGCTTATGCCAAAAATGGACATTTCTGGAAGATAATGTTTTTTTAAACCAGCAGAATTTGTAATTATATTGCTCAATATTGAGAGAAAGAGTATTATTAATAAGTAAAATGTTTATTTCTACTGCGAGTTTTTCAGATTCTGAATCCACTTATAAAATGGCAAAAGCATTTTTGATTTATTTTCATGTATCATATTTTTCTTAAAAACATTAAGTTATTTTAACGTCTTAAGAAAATGATATATGAAAATAAATAAAAAATACTTTTGATTATTTTTTATATATATATATATATATATATATATATATATATATTTATAAAAAAATTATAACATAAATATGTTATAAAATCACTAAAAAATAGTTACATTTTGTTTCAACACCCTCGCTGTCTTATCAAGTGATGATGTTGAAGATAAAATAAATGGTTTTAAAAGTTTCAAATTAATTAACGATTCTTCACTAGGGGGAAACATTGTTACAAAAGCTAGAATAACCAATCAAAATCCAAGTATAGGAAGATTCAAAAGCTTGACAACGAAATCATGTTATAATAGCTATTCAGATCTTTAAAATACAGGTAATATTAAAAAGAATTTATACTCTAACCAATAATTATAAAATTATATGATAAAATTTAATATTAAAATTAAAAACTGCCAATTTTAAAATCCAAATTTAATCACCATTAAGTTTAAAAACTATAAAATTATTGAGAAAAGAAAAAATACATATGTTATTCAATTTATTTCTTCGTTGAAATTACGTTCGACAAGATGCTACAATATCCGGTCATTTGACAATACATGTATATATATTTTTTTATTCTAAAGTGTGTGAATGTAATCTTAAACTCATGCGCAAAACAACAAAAACACAATCAGATTATAATACATAAGCACCCAGACATATTTAGATATACACACAAAAAAGCGACAAGACAGGAACATCTCCACAGCCCTTTATGAAAAAAGGAAACGAGGAAACCAACACCTATACACACACAATTAAATGTGAATGCACTCTACATACACATAGACACCGATAAATACATGTACACACATCCACAGACAATGACCTAGACAATCAGATACCACAACCAATAAATATTTAAGACTTAAAGTATCATTAAATAAATGCTAACCACTTATTAAAATATAACTTGAGCGAGCAAATATACAAAGATAAAAATGGTTAAAAATAATATTATTTAATATATTAAAACGAAAATTCCAAAACCACAAATATCAATAAAAATATATTTTAATCATATAAGTTGATAATAGTTTCATTATATATTAGGCGAAGAAAAATTAGGATAAAGAAACCCACAGAAATAAGTGTACTGTCATATGTATATATATATATATATATATATATATATATATATTCATACACGTTTCATTAAATAATATAGACAAGTGTTGTCTATTTATTTTATGTAAATTTTTTTGTAACGTCTGATAAGGTTAATAACATTATCGTTGAACGAAGAAAGAAATTCACAATATCGATTTTTTATTATTTAATACAATCTAAGCTTTCGGCTTACATAAGCCATTATCAAAGATGTCAATTACAACATAATATATGGACAAGACAGTGATGATAGTCTGTCATTGTTTACATAGATGATTTCTAAGCAACGATAAACATGTGAATATAAGACGCTACAAGCGTAAATCACACCGCATCTCATGATGCCACACATGAACACACGAGAGTGAATTGGTGAAGTACGAAAAGCCGTTGGTATAAACCAATAGCTTCTGTTACCAATTAATGATAATCAACGATAATGTTATTAAACTTATCATACGTTACGAAAAAATTTACATAAAATAGACAACACTTGTCTATATTATTTAATGAAACATGTATGAATGAAAAGATGCTGCCTAAGTACACACAATTTAAATATATATATATATACATATAGAAAAAGAAAGAACAGTAAGATAGATATTATATATATATATATATATAGAAAAAGAAAGAAACAGTAAGATAGATATTATATATATATATATATAGAAAAAGAAAAGAACAGTAAGATACATACATATATATATATATATAAATAAAAGAAACAAACAGTAAGATACATACATATATATAAATAAAAAAAACAACAGTAAGATACATACATACATATATATATATAAATAAATAAAAAAAAGAAACAGTAAGATATATATATATATATATATATATATATATATATAAATAAAAAGAAAGAACAGTAAGATACATACATATATATATATATAAATAAAAAGAAAAGAACAGTAAGAATATATATATATATATATATATATATAAATAAAAAGAAAGAACAGTAAGATATATATATATAAATATATAAATAAAAAAGAAAGAAATAGTAAGATATATATATATATAAATATATAAATAAAAAGAAAGAAATAGTAAGATATATATATATATATATATAAAAGAAAGAATAGTAAGATATATAAATATATAAATAAAAAAGAAAGAATAGTAAGATATATATATATATATATATAAAAAAGAAAGAACAGTAAGATATATAAATATATAAATAAAAAGAAAGAACAGTAAGATATATAAATATATAAATAAAAGAAAGAACAGTATATATATATATATATATATATATATATATATATATATATATATAAATATAAAAAAAAAAAAAAGAATAGTAAGATATATATATATATATAAATATATAAATAAAAGAAAAGAACAGTAAGATATATATATATATATATATATATATATATATATATATATATATATATATATATATATAAATATTGGAATAATGTTTTGATACCACAAAACAAATATAACGATTTAAAGAAAATGAATTTCTTTTGTATGACCATTTTTTTTTTTTTTTGCAGGACCTAGGTACCTTTCAGCCAACGCTTCATCAGGGTCTTTCGTTGGCAAATGATTTTAAACAAACAATGAAAATCTAAAAAGGATATAGAATTATTCATTTCTTCGTCTATAGTGAAGACTTTAGATGTTCATGTGGAACGAAAGAATAATATTTTCATCACTAGTGTGTTTTCAGAAAGAAACCTTTTCAGGTCTTTACACTAATTGGAACTCATTTGTCCCCATACCAGAAAAAATAAATCTGGTTAAGACCTTAGTTCATAGGGCTTTATTAATTTGTTCCTCTAGCACACTTCAACAAGAGTTGAACAAAATTGAGACATTCTCATCAACAATGGTTTTCCAGCCAACATTGTTGACCGCATGTCAAAAGCTGGAAAATAGAGAATTTCAATATGCCCCCAAAATTTAGCCCAGGTCTTTGCCCTATTTATCTGAAATTACCTGGCTAGGGCAGAAAATGTAAACTTTTGATTGATAAAGTTTCAAATGTTGTTTCTGCTACCTTCTTTTCGGCCAAAGCACGTGTTGTCTTTAGTACTCGTACTGTTTTTTAAAATCTTTTCCAAGGATCGCTTGCCCTATCATAATAAAAGTTCGATTATATATATATTTAAATGTCAGTGCGAAGCTGAATACATAGGGCGAACATGTCTTCGTTTGGAAACAAGAATCGGACAACATGTACCCAGACACATTAAATTAAATTTAGATAATCCATTCGTGTTTCGTGAATCAGCTCACAATTCAGCGATCGGCAACACCTATTAGAAAAATGAGTCATGCTCAAAACGTTTCACAATGGACTCATTTTCAATTATATGTGTAGGCAGGTCCAAATATCATCTGTCTATTTTGGAAGCCATCTGCCTCAAATTATTTAAACCATCGCTTTTTTAAACAAAAGGAGAATTTTTTCACGATCGCTAAATTTATTTTTTGATATATGAGCAACTTATTTTCCTATCTTACTGCTCAGGTTGGTTCATTATTATTAATTCATTATTTACGCATTTATTTTAATCGTAAATTTATTTTAATTTACGTATATATATCTTCATAAGATTTTAGACGTGTTCCAACCATACCATTTTACGTTCTTCTCATTTTCATTGTTTGTTTAAAATCATTTTCCAAAAAAAGACCCTGATGAGCGCTGGCCGAAAGGTACCTAGGTCCTGCAAAAAAAAAAAAAAAAATGGTCATACAAAAGAAATTCATTTTCTTTAAATCGACATATATAAATATATAAATAAAAAGAAAGAACAGTAAGATATATATATATATATATATATATATATAAATAAAAAGAAAGAATAGTAATATATATATATATATATATATAAATAAAAAGAAAGAACAATAATATATATATATATAAATAAAAAAAGAAAGAATAGTAAGATATATATATATATATATATATATGTATATAAATAAAAAAGAAAGAATAGTAAGATACACACACATATATATATATATATATATATAAATAAAAAGAATAATAAGATATATATATATAAATATATATATATATATATATATAAATAAAAGAAAAAGAATAGTAAGATATATATATATATATATATATATAAAAAGAAAGAACAGTAAGATACATATATATATATATATATATATACACACACATACACTAACACACATATATATCACAGACCCCCCCCCTCACACACACACATAAAACAAAGAAACTTACTGATCATTAGAAACCATCCTGTGTCCTGGAGCTTCAATGACTGGAAGGGGTTTTGGAATGTTCAGCTGTTGTCCTCCCCAAGAAACATGGCATCCACAGTGAAACTTAAGGAAATGATAGAAACCCCATGTTGCCACTACTCCAGCATTTCCGGTTATATTTATCTTTCCAGTGACTTTATCAGTAACCAACTACAATAAAACAATTTTTTAAAAAAAGAAGAAGAAAAGAATAGGAAAATCAACTTTTTAACTAAATTCAGATTTTCCTTTATTCCTGGAAGGAATTCCTATTACTGCTGCCCCTGTAAAAATCTTAAGGAAGAAAAAAAAACTGTTTGTGTGAAACTCTGTAATATACTTTATTTTTTTTAATAAAGTCACACAATTTGGAAAGCATTAGTTCTTATGTTAGTCTACATGCTTATCATTTTAAATTCTAAATACATTCCTTTCCTATGACAACAAACTAACAGTTAAAAGATTATCAGTTATGAATTACAATAAAGTTTCTTTAAAGGAATGTTCAAAATTTAATTTATATATCTCCAAGTATAAAATTGGTGTATACAGAATAAATTACAATAACCAAAAAATACTATTCTTAAAAGAGTGCTCAATACAGAGTAGAACAAATACAATTTATTTGAAAATTATAACATAAATATATTATGAAATCACTACAAAAATAGCCATTTTGTTCCAACACTTCTGATGTCTTATCAAGTGATGGTCACTAGATAAGACACCAGAAGTGTTGACACAAAATGGCTATTTTTGTAGTGATTTATAACATATGTTATAATTTTCAAATAAAGTGTATATATATATATATATATATATATATATATATATATATTTAGTCAAATGGATGACTTTCTAACCTTGCATTTTATGCTTATGCAATCCTCAGACTAAATGTTAGCTCTATCACTGATATTTGCGCTTTTCAATAAGCACACATATATAAATAGATATAGATATATATATATATATATATATATATATATATATATATATATATATATATATATAACACATTTCATAAATAGAACTGACACACTGTTTTATTTTTGCTATATTTTTTCCAATTTTCAAGTATTTTGCTCGAAATTGTCTGAAGTTCAGATTTTGTTATTTTTATACAAGTATTTCTGACTGTCACAGTCATTATCAAGAACTGATGTGGTATCTACATGGTAATTAGAATTCCTTTGTCTACATCCTACTATTCATCAGGAAGCTGGATGCTTGAAATGGTCTAGTATTACATCATGTGTATGGCTATTGGGAATGAGGTCGCACAAAAAGAATACAATTTATTCATTTATTTTTAATACCAATATATGTGCACATTAATTATATCATATGCACTGCAAGATACCATCCCCTGTGATAAATGATATTTTATTTAATGTGGGCTGTTTATTTTGTATAATAATAGCTTGTAGGGTTTTGAGTCTTTACTTACTAGAAACTATTATTATACAAAATAAGCAGCCCACATTATATAATAAAATATCATTCAGCACAGGAGATGGTATCTTAAAGTGCAAATTGATATAATTAAAGTGCGCAAATATTTTATCAGTACTATAATAAAATAATAAATCACATTCTTTTTCTGCAGTCCTTTTCCAAATAACCATTACATATGACATCACGTTAAACCATTTCAAATATCCAGTTTCCCAAAGAATAGCAGAATTTAGACAAAGGAATTCTAACTACCACACAGTATAATGGTTCTTGATAATCACTGCAATAGTCAAAAGTACTGAAATAAAAATAACAAAATCTGAACTTCAGACAGTTTATCCACAACTTCAAGCACAAGACTCAACAAGACCTTATCTGAAAATTGGAAAAATATAATAAACAGTCCAAAGAGCAGGTCCAAATTTTTTACCTATAATCTGCGCATATATATATATAACATTTTAATTAACTTACACCATAAACACTTTTCTAGTTCAATAGATTAAAAATTACAAAAGGCTAAACTGAAAAAATTTGTCTGCAGCATGCGATGAATAATCAATCAGTATAATTACCGTGAAGACATCTTTGTCTCCTTCTGCAAGTTGAGGATCAACCTGAATATTGAACTCTTCAGCACGATCTGGAATGAGTCGTCTGACAACATCTTGTGCAGCAGCAGTCTGGACAGAGGCAGTAGCTCGAGATTTCAATTTACGAAAATGTGGAAAATCTAGAAAGTTGGAAAAATAAAAGTAAATTTATGAGTAATTACTTCCTTTAGTTGTTTCAATAATATATAAAATATTTATCTGCATTTAGATGAAATTAGTTCCTGAACAAAATAAACCATTTAATTAATCAGTACCTTTACTTTACTCCTATGTTTCTTAAATTGCAGTCTTATTTGTTCAAGCTTTTTATGTGAGGCACTAAGATACCTTTGTCTATTAAGAGATTGTCTTGCTTTAAATTGGTCTTGAAATAGGCTTTGTTGTTGCTATCTTTTATTGTTCTGTTGCTAACCTTTTTCTAAGAGATATTTCCATTTTACTCTTATATTAAACACCAATTTTTAACATAAAAAGATATTGTTATACAGAAAGACAATCGACCTTGTCTACACTGATTGTTAAAACATGGACTCATCCATACCTCTCTGCTTTATTTGAAAATTATAACATAAATATGTTGAACATATAACAACACCACCATACCACCCAATATCAAATGGTCAGGCTCAACATTTTGTTGATACATTCAAAAGAGCATTAAAGAAACCAAACAGAGAGGAGACAGAAAAAGTAATGTTTCAACAGTTTTTAAGAATTTATAGACTGACCCCCCAAACCTAATACTGCATTGAGTATGTCACCAACAGAACTAATGTTTACCAGGAAAATTAAATCAGTGTTTGAGAAATTACTATCTGAAAGAAAAATAAAATGTTGGTATAGTATGAAATTAACTATAAAATCTTTCAAAACTGGATATAATGTTTTCTTCAAGATAGGAAAGTTAGGAAAATGGTGAAATAGTAAATCATATTGACAGGATGATATATATGGTTCAAGGTTGAAATTCACAACATAAAAGGCATATATATATGGTACAAGGTTGAAATTCACAACATAAAAGGCATTTAAACTAATTAAAACCAAGATATGCCAATGAAATAAAAACTCAACAAAGAGATTTGCCCATGGAAGTGCTGTACGATACTTTTGACTTGCCAACGCCAATTATAAATATCCAAACACACTGTGTTAGTAAAAGAAAAAGAAATCCAAAGGAAGTGTTGGAACTGAACCCCAAAAGAAGAAACTACATATTCAAAAGAGAACATGTATCATAAAGAGGGAGGTATTTTGTAAAAAGACGAATGACATTCTCTACACTGATTATTAAAATATGGACTTTTCCATTCACTATCTTTTTCAAGACTCACATATAAAAACCTAATACTAGTAAGGATTTAAGAAAAAATGCTGTTACTTGATTAACTTTTCTTCCTTTTCCCCAATTTGTATATGCTATGCTTGACAATTAATGTGACTCAACAGCCAATGATTGGAGCTTTATCTTGACAGAGAGGAGAGTCTTTAGATAGACACTACTAAGAGAAGATGTATTCCTGATGCATAGATAGACACAGCCTCTCATAAGATTTCATGCCAGACTTGTGAGTAAAGACAGCGTTTGTAACATCCATTAGCTTTCCTTTTCAGGGTTGGGAGATATAACACATTGCAATACTTTGTTAGCATGTTCTCTTTTTAGAAAAATAATCTTTTATGTTCTTCCAACTTTTCCCTAATTATCTTTCTTTTTTTTTTTTTATGTATAAATGTTTTTGTATTTATCTGATTACCACAGTCAGATACTACTAAGATTACACACTGGTTCCACTTCCCACATTCACATCTGTTACAGTAATTGCAAATATTTCAGTACTAAAAAGAAATTTTAATACTTAATATTTACAACAGTGTTTTTTATTTTATGCTTTTTTTAAATTTTAGTAGAAAATTTTCAAAGTTTTTTTTTTTCATGCACCAATTTCTAATTCTGAAAATATTCCTTACTCAAAGCGAAAAAGAAAATTAAAACATCCAGGTGAGCAATTTGCTGGCATTTGTTATCCACTGTTTATTCTTTCCTGGAACCAGTGGTCATAATCTTGGCATTCTAAACATATAAACAAATATATATCTATATCAGAATTGTAAACTCCTTAGCAGACATTGATCCTCAATGCAAGTCTAAAAATTCTAGGCACATATATATTGTAGAAATGAATCAAACTTAGCATATACAAAAGTATGTGTATTTTATAAAGGGTAAATGTTGGATAGCATTCAAAGCAAGTATATAATATTATAAGTTCTTTTTTTTAATGTTGTATCCCTTCAAAATGTAGGCAATCATGACTCTCCACAGATTCCTTTATTTTTATTGTTAACAAATTGCCATAACTTAAGATAGTGGAGTGGTTTTCTATTGCCTTCTCTATGATTCTGAATTCAAAGTAGTCTTTTTATAATAGTTACCACTCAAGGCTAGAGAGACCAGTCTACCCAGCTGCTTAACCAATTGCTAGAGAGAGAAGAGTTGGATTTATGCCTTTCCCAAGGGCATTAGTGTGAAAGTGAATGCAGCAAATTGGCCTAGAGTTTGAACTATTCTATTTTCCTTACTGAAAACCATTACACTCTCTGCATTTATAATAGCAACAGAATTTTCTGCAAGTGAAGACAATGGCTATAAATTTTAAAAATTCAAAGATTCTTTAGCTTTAAACAATTGAACTTTCCTACTAGTGACATTTTTCTCTACAATTTAAATTTTATATCATGTTTTAAGGCATATTGTTTTATTCTGTTTTTTTTTAAATTTTTCATGAATCTTATCTAAAAAATTAGATAACATATAGCAATGATTCTCAACATGGATGACAATACTCCTTTGTGGCCACTGTAGGTTCTCAAGGATGCAGTAAGCTTTCAGGAGAGTTATCAATATGGAGGAATGCTATAATTTTAAAAGAATAGTAAAAGGATTTAACTTGCTGACTCCAGATCAGAACAAGTCATAAAATATATATGCATTTGGTTACCTTTTTTACCTATATGTTTGCATTTTTAGATATTTTTAAAAAAATTGGCTGCAATTGCAATGTATGGATAGAGAAAAACCTATACGCTAAAGTCAAATAACTCCTATAGATCAACCTAGTGACCACCACTTGGCTTTTCCCAACGCAGCTTACTTCCAGTGATTGGTACTGCTATAATGAAACAAAACATAAGGTGACATTTACTCTGCTCCATTTACCAGTGCAATTTTAACATAGTGAATGCTTGGCTGTGCAAATATCTGCAAAGATGCACTGGAGGAGAAAAGGCTAAAAACTAGTTATATCATATGATATACAACAGAAAAATGTGAAAACATGGACCTTTGTGCCTGAAAAAAAAAAAAAAAAATGAGTGTCAAAAGGACAGTTTTTCCATGACACCACTTTTATTTTAACTACATTTACTCCCTTGGCAATATTTATTGTTTTAAAAAGCAATGATTTGAATTGTAATAAAACCTAAATATATGAAAGTGAATTTATACATTTTCTTTTTTATTGAGAATTGACAACAAAAATAATAAACATTGTTTATTTATTAAATTGTTTATCGGAATGATTGGCAAAACATCACCAATTGATTCAAACTTTATAAAATGGTAAATAATGAGGATTTCCTTATAGTTGGCTCACATTGTTGTGAATATGGATTATCTCCTCTTAGATAATCCAAGCTATAAAAGCTGTATACTTCCGCTGTCAAGTCAGATGAGTAGTAGTATTCTTAATTGAATAAACGATTACTAGACAGAATCTCTTGTCCTGTTTTCATTACACACATATTTTAATAGTTTAGTAAATGTTTATAAGTTTATGAATAAAAAATCGTTTTCATATTTATTTCTTCATAAATTCGTAAGTGATAAATTTTGCATTGTGTTAATCTTAATATAATTCTGTTAGCTTTTAGAATGTTGTAAACATAAAATTATTCTTGTATTGGGTTGTCTAGAGAGTTCATGCTGATTTTTCAGGGAAATTAAAACAAAATTATGCCATTAAATATTAATTCAACTAAATATGAACCATTTTGTTGCACAACCTTTCTTCATCTTTCCTTCAACTTAAAGATTCCTAGAATTTTGGTGGTTTCTCAGCAAAGAATTCATTAACATGATTTTTTTATGTCATTGAAAGAAGTAAACTTATCATTGATATTATTTTGCAAGGATCTGAATAAATAAAAATCTGAAGGAAAAATGTCTGATGAATATGGCAGGTAGGGTAGCACATCGCAGTCAATAATTTTTGCCGGATTGCCAAACACTTTTCCTGTTCACCAATTCTGGGTGTTTTTCTTGAATTGCTGTCTCTAATTCATCCAATTGCAAGCAGTATTTTTCAGAATCAACTGACTGGTTACTTGGCAGAAGTTCATAGTACAAGATCCCTTTCCAATCCCACCAGATGCACAGCATGACTTTCTTAGGATGAAGACCTACTTTTGTGGTGGCTAAAGTTGGCTCATGTCACTTACCCCAGGATTTTTTTTCGTTAAACATTGTTGTAAATGGTCCATTTCTCATCATCTGTCACAATTTGCTTCAAAAAGGGTCCATTTTCATTATGTTTATACAGAAAATCACAGATGAAATGCAATCCAAAAGATTCTTTTCACTCAGATCATGTTGTACCCAAACATCGTAGCAATTTGTGGACCCAAGCTTCACTAAGTGCAAACAGATGGTGGATTTTGATAATTTTAGTGTTTCTGTCAACTCCTGTATTGCATAATGTAGGTTATTTTCAATCAATGTTGTGATTTGGTTGTCATCTGCAGTGGGTGGGGTGGGGTTAGTCTGCCTGAGTGTTCTTCATCAATAAGGCTACAATCACCAACTATAAACTTAGCGAGCCACTTTTGTACAGTTCTGTCAACTAAAGCACCTTCACCGTACACAGCACGTATCTTTTTTGTTGATTGTGAGTCATTTTTGCCTTTATGGTAAAAAAAGTGTCTAAAATGTGCCTTATAATCTTACATTTTCATATGCAAAATTGACCTGAATTAAGCAATTTTAAACTTATTTTCTGAAGAGATAGTTTGAAATGTGTTCTAATTGGAAATGTAAGCATATTATATCTGTAAATAAATTTGATGTGTTCTGTCGTGTTGGAGTACGAACTTTCTGGACAACCCAATAAATAAACAATCTAATGCATAAATTTAGGTTTTATTACAATTCTAATCATTGCTTTTTAAAACAATAAACATTGCCAAAAAGTGAATGTAGTTAAAATAAAAGCAGTGTCAAGGGAAAAATCATCCTTTTGACACTCTGTTTTTTGGCGGGCACCAAGGTCCAAGTTTGGCTGAAAAATGTTTATACAAAAATATAAAAATATGCATTTCTTACGATTGTTGCCTTCATTTCTCCCCACAAGGGTGATTATCAGAAACTGCAAAATAAAATTCAGAGATAGATTAAAAAAATAAAATAAAAAAAAAACTTTCAAAATTTTTTATAAAAATTAAAAAAAAAAACAAGAATCAAAAAATACTTTAGTAGATATTATAGTTAGGTATTAAGATTTCTTTTTAGTGCTTTTACTTTAACAGATATCAGTATGGATAGTGGAATCAGCATGCAGAGTTCAAATTCTGGGCTAGTCTCCCTTGGGAAAGGCATAAATTATCTCTTCTCCCCTCAGTTATGGATCAAATACCAGGGTAGACTGGTCTCTCTAGCCTTGGGTGGTAACCAAAGAAAGGGGAAATTCTGAATTCCTAATAATAGAGAAAGCAATGTGAAACCACTACTATCTTTTCCAAGAATGTAGAGCACTTCACAGATAAGAAAGAAAAACATCTGATAAGTCAGGATCATAAGAAGGAAGAAGAAATATACAAGATATTTGCTACAAATCTCTGATACTACCAAGTCAGCTTAATAATATTGAAAACATATTTTTTTATTTTAATTCCTATGCATCTAGTTGGTAACTCATCTTTTCATCATAAAACATTTCAGACTTAGTCATAGGAGTAAACAAGAAAATTTCATAGAATTATATAGAACAAATGAATGTCAATTAACATCTTCAGGAAAAAAAATATATAAATCAAACTTTGATTTGAATAAACAGGCATTACTTCTAACAGTCAAGTTGTTAATTTTCAATACATTAGAACTATCAGCTCAGTGTCCGACACACTGCATTCCAGAATCTTGCTGTATAACCATTTTGCCAGACCAAATAGTGTCAAGTTAATACTAGTTCAATAACACTACTTTCTCTATTATTCTGTCATAAGTTGATTATGCCTTGTATCTTTTATGTTATTGCTCACTGTTTCCCTCTGTCTCTCTCACCTTCAATGTCTTGTGCGTGCCAAATTCTCCAAACCCTTTTTCCTCATTGCATGTCAGGTCCATTCAGAACATATGTGATTATGGCTCTCCACTGATTCTTTTTCATTTTTATCTCTGAATTGCCATGCATTCTTGGGAAAGATAGTGAAATGGTTTTCTGTTACCATCTCCACAATTTAGATTTCAGAGTTTTTCTTTTCTTAGGCTGGTGGTCACCCAAGACTAGCTTGCTATTTAAGCCATAGCTGTGAAGAGCAGAGATGCATTCATTCCATTTCCAAAGGCATTAGTGCAAAAGGGAACACAACAGACTAGCTGAGAATTTGAACTCTGCTTGCCGATTCTATTTTTTTATGCCAATATCCATTAGTCAACCTACATATGATCTTCACCATCTACTAAAAAAAAATCTATAAATTACACTGCTCTTATATAAATGTAAAAAGGTCAAATCCTGCCTATTGCTTTATGTTCTAATGAGAGAATTTATTTTCATTAATGTACAACTCACATCAACATTAATGTTATTTTATTGATTCATGGGGAAAGTTAGAGATCAACATTATTTTTAAAAAATAAAAGCAAAAGAGAAAAATTAATCTCCTTATAGATGTATATTTGTAAATGAACATAAAAAGAAATCAAGGTATAATAAGCATCGTTAATTTAATCTAAACTAAATGACTAACCATTTTTTTATTTTTAAGTAAACTTTTATTTTCTTGTTTTTCCTAAAGGTATTTTTCCAAATATTCAGTACTAGCTATATTATGTATTATTGTGTAGAGAAATCCTTCATAATAATCCTTGTTGATGACATTTCTACCAAAAGACAGCATCTGCGAATAGTCAACGCTCTCTGCAAGTAATCGCCTTTTGAAAGTAGTGAATGTTCTCTGCCTGAAGTCACCTTTTGAAACTAGTCGACTTTCTCTTCCTGAAGTCACCTTTTGAAACTAGTCGACTTTCTCTTCCTGAAGTCACCTTTTGAAACTAGTCGACGTTCTCTGCCTGAAGTCACCTTTTGAAACTAGTCGACGTTCTCTGCCTGAAGTCACCTTTTGAAACTAGTCAACGTTCTCTGCCTGAAGTCACCTTTTGAAACCAGTCGACGTTCTCTGCCTGAAGTCACCTTTTGAATGTAGTGAACGTCCTCTGCCAGAAGTCACCTTTTGAATGTAGTGAACGTCCTCTGCCAGAAGTCACCTTTTGAATGTAGTGAACGTCCTCTGCCAGAAGTCACCTTTTGAATGTAGTGAACGTCCTCTGCCAGAAGTCACCTTTTGAATGTAGTGAACGTCCTCTGCCAGAAGTCACCTTTTGAATGTAGTGAACGTCCTCTGCCAGAAGTCACCTTTTACAAGTATTTGACATCTTTTGTCAGAAGTCAGCCTTTACAAGCAGTCTACATTCACTGCTAGAAGTCAGCCTTTACAATTAGCTGACATTCTCCACCAGAAGACAACCTTTGCAAATAATCAACATTCTCTGATAAAAGTCAGCCTATGCAAGTAGTCAACATTTGCACAAACGTGTTTACCTCTGCTTCTCTTTGCCTTCAATATGTTCTCCAAACTTCTTTCCTAATTATACAATCATGGCTCACCACAGTTTCCTCTCTTTTGTTGCTCAAAGTAACTTTTGACTGTTTATTATCCTCCTTCTTTATCTATGTTCTTCCATCCATTCATATAAACTTTTAATGTTGGTTACTGTTTCTCCCTGTTTATCTTGCCTTCAATATGAGCGTTTAATATTCCATGTCCACTTTCCTCATCATATGTTCCAGAAAATTCCAAATATCACTTTTTGATCTTAAGCATGTGTCAATTTTCCTTAAAATTCTGCAGTGCCAAGACTTATTCAACACTAGCAGTAGAGCCCGGCGTTGCCCGGGGATATAACAGTAAGAGATAGATCAAGTATCGACCATCATAAAGATTGAAAAATAAAATTGACAAAGATTATTGTTTAAGGTTGATGGACAAGCATGTCTTAATTAGTTTTTTTTTTTTTTTTTTCTTTTACGAATTGGTCAAACCCAAACTCAAACAAAAACATTGTTTTCAATCGTTATGAGTCTATCGATTGAATAGAATTTTATTATAAACAATTGTCTTGTAAATGGAATTTTTAAAGCATTCTGAATGTAAAAATAAAGAAAAAGTGTGCAAGACAATAAGAAACACTACCTGCCAAAAAAAGTGAAGTTTTGTTGAAAGCAGTTGAAGAATGTAGGAAATCCGGATCCCATATATAAACGAACACACACATGAGTTGTCCCCTTTCATTCTCGCGATGCCTCTTAATCGTGTTTTCAAATTGATTTTGTGCAAAAACAATTGTGTTTTTCCAATTTTGGGCGCTGTCAGAACCAACGCAAAGGTAATTTTAACGTAATCCTGTGAAGTTTTGTTGAAATCAGTTGAAAAATGTAGAAATCCGATCCCATATATAAAATGAACACACACACACACACACACACACACACAACCTGGGTTTTATAATAAGTATAATAACTCGATATGAGTTGTCCTCCTTTCATTCTGGCAACAGTGATGCCTCTTAATCGTGTTTTCAAATTGATTTTGTACAAAAACAATTGTGTTTTTCCAATTTTTGGTGCTGTTAGAACCACTGCAAGGTAATTTTACGTAGTCCTGTGAAGTTTTGTTGAAATCGGTTGAAAAATGTAGGAAATCCAATCCAATATATAAACGTACAGACACACACACACAATCTGCATTTTATAATAAGTAAGATAAGATTTAAAATTCAATAGACTTAACATCCAGCAGAAACATCAAACTTTTTACCTAAAGTTCAAGATAAAAAAAACAGCAAGTAACACAAATAACTATGTAAAATGGAATATGTGAGATCCAGTTGGACATGGAAAATTTTTATTTTCTTGTTGACATTTCACTACTTTTATATAAATGTAACTGAAAATATCTAAAGAAAAGTTGTTACCGTGCTACATAAAAATGCTGTAGTCATTTTGAAGAATGTTAACAGTTAACCGAATTAAAAAATATATCCATGACCCAATCAATGGGCATTACACATAGGAAATATGTTAAAAATGATGATTTGACATAGAGTAATAAAAATGAATGAAAGAAAGTCAATGAGAAAAATAAAGTCTGTATTTTCAAAGTAAAGATTAAGTACTAATAATTAAAAATATAAACTATGATTATATGTTATTTAGGTATTAATGAAAGTATAAAATTGATTTAAAATTTCATGAAGACATTTAAGCAGTGATTACTACATCTACATTGCAAAATATTTGGGGTAATTTTGTTAGGTTATATTTTCCAAAATATATTTCTTAGATTAACACTTTCACAGAATGCTTTAGACGAATGTAATAAATTAATGGATGACAGATAAATACATAAGTATATGAAAGCAATTTCTAAAGAAGTAACAGATTTTTTATTTATTAATCCAACAGATTTTTATCACTTTAAACATTATTTTTAGTGGATGCCAATATTTGAGATGTTCCATGTTTATTTTAAACAGTGTATTTATTTTTGTCTAGCAGCTCAAATATTCAAGAAATCTTATTAAAGAAAAAAAATTTGCCCACCAGCAAAATTTGGCCTTGCTTGATTGGCAACACACTTTGTAGTTGCATTGGTTAAAAGCACATCAGATCTAATGATGGTTTCTCCTGCAAAAGGGGATGCTGGTTCAAATCCTGCCAGATTTGACATCTTTTTCTTTAATAAGATTTCTCAAATATTCAGGCCAGCAAATGATCAAATACTATACAGTAAAGTTAGAAGATAAGACATACAATTCTATATTAAAAATTAATAGTAATTGTTATGAAGTTGATATATACACAATAGTACAAGTCGTCACAAGTGACACTATCCCCCAGTCTATCTAAAGTTCTGCCTATATAGTGGTATGATTAAACTAATTAGTATTAGCCTAACCAATCCCACTACACCTCCTCGAACCTTTTAGGTTTAACTCCCCAAGTTGACCTATTGCTTCTCCTACAGTAATGATGACTAGGAATCTGTCTAGAGATACCAATCTATAACCGCTAATCTTAGTTTAATA